TTAAAGGCGCTATATAAAATAAAGTTTATTATTATTATTATTATTCGGAGTTTGAAGGACAGAGCACTTGCTCCTCCTCAGTGTGGGGCTGGGTTTCAGCTCCTGCAGACTGCACCCCGTGCGGCAGGGAGCAGGGCTGGGTGGTAACCGGCCTGTGGTCTTGTCCCCTCAGTGCGTGGAGCTGCGGCTGGAGCTGGAGGCAGTGGAGCACGAGTACCAGTCCTGTCAGTCAAAGCTGAAGCAGTGCAGGGAGGAGCTCAAGCTTCTGCAGGGCCGGAAGAGACCGGTGAGGTCCAGCACAGTGTCACTTGGACAGCACACACGCACTAGCACACTGCAGGGCCACTCACACACACATACCCACACACCGCAGTGCCACTCATACAAGCACACACACTGCAGGATCACTCATACACACATACCCACACACCGCAGTGCCACTCATACAAGCACACACACTGCAGGATCACTCATACACACATACCCACACACCGCAGTGCCACTCATACAAGCACACACACTGCAGGATCACTCATACAGCTTTTTCAACAGCAGCTACAGTAACTCATCTAGTAAAACCAGAAGAGCTTTCTTGACAACCTCCTGCAAACCACTGGATGTAGGCAGCAAGATTCTTCCAAGTTGGAAACAGCAGAGCTGCTGATCTCTATGTTACAGCACCTGGATTTAAGTGGAGGGACGACTGTGATATACCATGTATCACAGCAGCAGCATGAGATGTATAAAAAGACTGGGGAAGGGTTAGCTTATCTCTTTTTCAGTCTAAGATGAGATACTGTATGTAATCCCTTAGTATGTGGAAATATGGAAATATGTGCCTGCCCGTGTGCCCTGCGTGTGGAAATATGTAATGGAGTGTTTAAGGCTATGAGGAAAACTGAAATATGATTATTGTTAATACAGAGAAAACTATTCCAACAATAACACCGCAAAAAGGACAATGCCGGCAGTGAGTGCATGTGGTAACAGATCTCTTCTCTGGCTTTCAGAGGCGCTGCAGCACGTGGCTCTGTCTCTCCCTGCTGGTCGTGATGGTAGCGGTTCTAGTGGCCACCTTCCACCCTCCCATTTACGAGCATCTTGCGGCCCTGTATTCAGTACTGAGGACGCACGCTGACCAGTTCTTCCGAAGATTCAGCTCACTGGAGTGGGGTAACAGCGACGGACCTCAAAGTCCCCTTTCGTGAAACAGTGGGAGAGGCAGCGAGAGACACCCCTCTCTCATCCTTAGCGTACAAACATTCCCAAAACCTCGCACGCCTCCTCATACAGGTGAAGCTGGAAGTGAAACGATCTTATACTACACAATGATGTACACATTTGTGGGAAAAAAAGGCTGATAGAGGTCATCTGTTTTTTTAGCAGTGAGGCATGCTATCTTGATGTGAAAAAAACGGGAAGTCTTAAAAATCGAGTCGTTTTGCAGATGCTTTTATGTTAAAGTGACTTTCAGAGACCTATGTTCAGCATAACTTCTGAACACACCACGGTTTTAAGTGCATCTCAGCCAAAAGGCAGAGCACAGGAAAGTGGTCTAACTGGGGCCTGAAGCAGTCTAGAACAAGATGGTAAAAAGCCCTTTGCCTTAACCACTGCACTGCCTGGGCTCTGTACAAACCCCACCGTTTACAAGGACTTTAACTTCCAAACTCAGGTATTTCAAGACTGACATTAAAAATGGTTTTGAAAAGTAAGGATGGAATTTACTTTAGCCTGTAAGGTTCTGAAACCAGCTTTACATTTTGTACTACAAAATGCATGTATTTTATTTTTTATTTTTATTATGGATAAAATAAAGTGCAATTGATGTTTGTACCATGTTTTCACAGTTTGGGGAAGAAAATAATATTGTACCTCACGAGAATAAAACAAAATGACAAATACTCAGCGGTGGTCCCTTGCTTTTTTGATGGGCTCAGCGTTTTGAGCTTGACCATGCACTCCTTCTGTAGCCCAGCAAACTTTATTGCTACAAACATAGTCGCACATTAACCCTTTTTCCTTACAGGAATTCATGAGTGACAATCAGCTTTCAACCCCACAGAGCACCTTGGTGTGGATTTGTGCCACACAGGGCTGGAAGGTGTGTAACCAACAAGTCCGGTCCGCAGTGACAGTAGTCCAGCACATTTTTTTAGTTCTCTCCAGATCAACCTCACAAGACTTTGGGAAGAGGGTTAAATTGGATCAATTAAAGCTGAGCTGGACTACTGTGACCATTCTGCAAAGACTGAATGCTTCTATTTAAGTAAAGAGATCTAAATCACCTGTTGATATGAAACTCAATGAAACCAAAAGGCTAGGATACTTCAGACACTTAAACACTTAAGAAGACAATTTACCAACAAAAGGTGTGCGCCCCCATACATCCCAGGAAATGAATCATTCAATTATACAAAAGCCCATAAATCAGTTGCTAAACGCCTAGAGCAAACAATAGTTTTTGGCAATTTGGCTCAGTAACTGTTTGCACACGCAAGGTTTGACTGCTATTTGCTCCTGTAGTGAAGCACATCCCGGGACAGGTTTAATCCTTGAGCTGAGTAAGAGGCAGTTTTGATTATATTATCACCTGGTGTGCAGCTTAGTGCAACAGGACTCGGGAAAATATGCCACTAATCAAGTCCTTTCATCGGTCGATTAGGGGCCTGTATTACCCAAAAACCTTCAAGACTCTGCAGCTCTCTGAGACCTAAGCTGGCCCCCCACTGCGTGATTACACAGCGTGCTCTTTCCTAGAGTGTGACTGATGGCAAGCTGACTGTCTTGCTAGAGATATGGAGGTCTGTAAAAGCAGCCTGCCGGCTGAACCGGTCCAGCATCTTGCCAGTCCAGTTGTCCATCTCGGCCCGAGTGGCTGACGTAAGGATTTCCGGGATGCTGAAGGAGCAGAGCTGGACTCTGAAGTCCTTGGCTATCGCTCGGCACCGAGCACAGACCGTGGTGACCCGCAGCGGGGTCATACTCAGGCAGTTCTCAAAGCTTCTCTCTTGGTCGAACCAGTAGGTGGCCGGGAAGCCCAGAAGGACTCCGAAAAGGGTGCAGAAGTTCCACGGGGAACGTGCCCATTCGACCAGCGTGCCCAGTTTGAAATCATCTACCACCGTCTGTGTTAACTCCCTCACCCTGCTTTCGGGACCAGCTAAGGCAGGCTGGGCCCGGGACTGGGACACATCTATGACAGCGACGGTGTTTTTCAATAGCAGCTCCTCCATGTGCAGGACTGTCAGGTCTTCATTGACAATCACAACGTTCCCATCGACCGCCAGGACGTTCAACACGTGGCTTAAAAACCCAGCTTCGCGCAGCTTGCGCAGGTAAAGTCGAAGCTGCTCGGGTCCCGCTGTGTTGGCATCGTAAAGGAAAGAGGGTCTCAACCCAACGTCCACCGCCAGGACCTGCGCAGCGAGGCTGAGGCATGCAGAGGGACGTAAACGCTGTTTCTTTCTCGTACCGGAACCGAGGCACTGTTGAGCCACTTCAATAAGGAATTCGGGGGCGACTCTCGCTGACATCACCGGCGGAGACGTGAAACCCCTGCAGTCTGACACCACCGCTAGTCCCTTAACAGAAAAGATCGACCTGTTCCGTTTCCGTTCTTTTTTTATCTATCTGTTTCATTCCTCGTAATCCGCAGGTCTTCTTCGGCGGCAGGAAGAATACTGAGGATGACAGAAAAATAGTCTGTAACTTTAGTAATAACGTACAGTATGTATAACCTTCGAAAAATCTGCAGGCATCAGTTCTACAAAGCGCAGGCAGAACACGGGCATAACTGTGCAGGGTTTCGCCTTGCTCAGCAAGGGATGCACCATCAGAAAACAGACCGATATCAGTGAAGAGCTTCACTTAGAGGCAGCAGCGAGCCCATGGTCATAATTTTACTAGGAGCTCCCAAGAACTATTCGCGAGGCAATAAGACTGAATGAAGCACTTGTAATGAATTCCTTAAACATTCCATAATCATAAAATTATGCCTCAATTTTGAATTATTGCCAGGTTTAAATTAATATTTAAAACCTATTTCGGAAACGTGTTCTTTTTAGTTATATTTCTACCCTGCTAAAGCACATATATATATATAGCTAGTTATACATCTCTAAATAACGTTTTAAAAAGTACTTTATGATCTGATTTTTGTACAGAACTTCATACCCGAAGTATGATTATTGCTTTCGATTGTACTACCGGATCCTTTATTTCCTATTGCCTTTTTAAAACCTTTACTACCTTCTTTACCTGACAGCGTACAGCCAAACGCCAAGGAAAATATTTCAGCGACGACTCAGAACGACGCAACTATGCTTGCATAGATCTACTCCGCCGCCTAGTGGAGCGGATGTCTTACCGCATATTTAAAGATGTCCTTAAACTGAAGGCAAAAATAGACATTCTCCTAAATTGTAAATATAAAAATAAATATATAATATACAAAGAAATCCTGTAAAAATAATCTAACCGTTGAAATGTACAATTCATTGTAATGCTTTTACATTATTGTGATGAATTGTATTGTAATAACATCCCTAAGGATCTTCATTCACTACTGAAGTGAAGCACCCAGCTGAGTAAAATACTACACCAGCAGCCCCACTACACAAAAAATCCAGATGGGACGTGAAAAATTGCTTTACACCCTCAGTTAAGGAGGGTTTTAAGAAGGCTGATTGTGCAGAGTGGAATTCAGCCAGGACACTGTGGTTGACATCCTTGCTCTTACGAACAGTGCCTGGACTGATCACCAAGCAACCGAGACCTTATTTTAACATCTCATCTACAGCAGTGTTACCAATCACCATACTGGAGCAGAAATACTGGTGCTGGGGGAAGGGCACCACCTCCTGTTCAACCAATATCAATTACAACAGCAACCTGGTTTTTCCCTGGATGTCTCCTGCCTCACTATTGACCAAGTACAGCCTTTCTTAGCTCGTGAGATCAGACAAGATTGGTCAGGAAGATGGAAACTCTGTTGTCCTTCATGTTCCTATACATTACTATGATGTATTTCAGATTACTAACCACACCACAGAGCTGGACGTACTCATTTTGTGCATTACTTTTAAACATGCATTTGGAGAACATAAGCAGGACGCAAATGAAAGCAGCAGATTTGGTCCACGTAGTCTGGGGTCGGGTATCCAATTCATCCAAGAATCTCTTCCATCTTTTTTGTGAGCATATCAATATACAGTATACAGGAAGGTCTATCTGATGAAGCTGTAGTTTCTGTGAACAATAAAATGATTCTGAGATCAACACTAACATTCCAAACACCTCCATTGTGCCACACATGGCACTGAGTGGGTGGATTAGAAGCCGAAGACCTATGAAATATAAGGTCATAAGAACTTTTGTATGAATCCTAGAAATGACGAATCCATTACAACTAGTTAAAATTTTTATTGAAGAGTTTCTCTTAACTTTAAAAAAAGGTCTGCTCATATATATTACATCACATACCACAAAAAAGAAAGAATGAAACAGGCTGACAGAGTCAAGGTCACAGCAGCATGCTATAGTATGATTAATCCCCAGAGAAAAACATTTCACATCCTTGTCTTTGTCTACAATGGCAACTACTGACAGAATTGACAGCGTTATTGTGAAACATTTTTATGACGCGGATGGAAATGTTATTAAAATCAGTAAATAAAAACCACCAGAAGGCTCCCCCTCCCGCAGATTCACATCATAAACATTGGTTGGGTGACGGTTTAAAAAAAACTCTAAGGAGGAGAATTAGGTTAAACTTGCTCTATCTTGACTTACCCTTGCCTAGCGAGTGAAAAGAAGCTGACTATTCCCCTTGCTCAGGGGGAAAGCTGCACACAAAGCTACATCTTACAAGTTAAGCACATTTTTTAAAAGCTAAAGCAAGAAGACCCCCCCCATCTTAGATGTCGTGTCATGAAGATGGCTAAATGTTCAACACCAGTCCCTTTTGGGTTTCACATTGGGAACGAGAAACTCTCCTGAACCAGCTTTTAAAAGAATCAATTTAAATGTTTCTTGAAAAACGGATCCTTCTAAATATCGGAAGTCCAACGTCTCATGGAAACTGTCTGTGTAACGGTCTGTCAGTCCGCGGGCAGTCAGAAGCCCGAGTTCCTAATGTGGGCTCTGTTTGTGGACAGAGACAGCAGTCCGGAGCACAGGAATCTTCCCAAGCAGTGCGTGGCTCCAGGAAAGCTGTCGGCCAGCGCAGCCGGGCCGTCCGAACGGCTGCACGCTAGCAGGTCCGTCTCTTTGTGTTGGAAGGAGGTGACCTACACGACCGGGGGTCCGCCCGCAGGTTACTGTGCCTGTAGTGCTTGGGGGAGGTGCAGACTGCCGCCGGGCTGGAGGAGCCAGGCTTCGTGGCCCTGGTGCGTCTGCAGGAGACGGTACAGCTGCTTCAGGTGCGTCACGATGTTGTCCTTGATGTCGGGGGTGGAGATCTGCAGACGCACGCTGCCGCTGTCGAAAGAGCGGGTGAAGTCCCCCGAGAACATCTCGTAGATCATCCTGGCCACCACAGGAATCACCTGTGGAGCAGCACAGCGCAGTCAGGCCCTGCAGCCACTACAGCTTTACTGCAGCCAGCACAGCTTCTTACCAAAAATCATCAACACAGCTCAGTTCTTTAAACATAAGATACATCTTAACTTAAGTATAAAAGGGATAGAAATATATTTATTTTCATTTTTTAGTAAAATTAGGCATAACTCAGATAACTATTTTTTTCTGATTAATTCCCAAGAAATGATTTTACCTCTAAAATGCCAAGGTTTTTAAAAAAAAAGTACACTCGTACCTCCTTTTTATGAACGCAATTTGTTCCCAGAAACCCCTTTCCAAAAGGACAGTTACAATCCCTAAAATGTCACCCCTACTTTTACTTTTTTACCACAAAATGATAAGAAAATAAACAATAATAACTAACATTCATACTTTGGTTTATGTTTTTAGTAATAAAAAACACTGCTTAACTAGTTAGACATCATTAATCAAACCTGAGTATTATATGATTATAGTATATACTGTAACTACTTCATTTGCTTTTTGTGCAATTACACACACATTCACAGTTTTCATTTACTTAATGCCTTTGAAGTTCGAGGATAGTCTAAACCACCAATTTTCTGACACAAAAAGAAAGAACTCGTACAACGGCAAACAACGCAAGACCCGGTGAACTGTATCACACACTCCCTAGGCTCTGTGCGAGCTCTCATCCATACTAGCTAGTGGAATGTGCTGCAAAAACAAGAAATGATGTCTTCCTCTTCACCCTCTACCTTTTTGCATAGGTTTTACATTTTTCTTCACATTGCTTTGTCGTAGTTTCGAAGTTGGCTTTCATTATTCGAAACGTGGGGAGAAATTCACGCGCTTCGCAGTATCGAATTCTCATAAAAAGAACATTAGTTAAAAGAGGTACAGGTGTAGCGGTACTTATGTGCCTATACTGTACTTGTGTTTTCAACAATTTTCCTTCCAAACACACCTAGGACATCTCACACCCCTTGGGAGTGTGTGCACCCCAGGATAAGAACTACTGCTCTAGACAAACAGGGGGTGCAATTTCATTAAGAAAGAATAGATTCCTGACTACCCTCAATGTAAAACAACAGGTAGTCAGTTGATATTCTACTGATATGTACCACGGAAGTCACTGGGAGATTAAACCCATTCTCTCAAATACATACAGACGGTAAATGAGACAGTGCCCAATGGTCTGAGAGAATGTAACGACAGAAGGCTATCGGTTAAATACATCAATTTTTTATTGTATCGGAAATGCAGACTTACTTCTGAGAGAAGGAGAAAGAGTCTAACTAGTGACATTTCATCTCAGCAGGGCTACAGATTAGCTTAAAATCAGATCTTTGATCCAGTGTGTGTACTGAACCTGCATGCCATGGCAAAACTGAAGACACAGGCAGTAGAATCCACACTGAAAGACATCTCCCTACATTAATGGAGGTAAAAGATGCCCTTTACTCTATCCCCCTCCAGGTCTACCTCACAAAAGGCATCTCAAGCAGAGTGAGACTTCCTTGTTAGATAAAGATTAGTTGCAAGCAAAGTGCTAACAAAGGAATGAAACCCAGAGAAAGAAGTTTACAATCATCCCTTGTTCACTATGCAAAGCATGCAGGTAGTGCAGCTGAATAACAGTGAAAGCATTCACTTTCAGTTAAGTTCACCTCAAGCTGTAGAAGTCCCTCCTCACCTACCTGCACCATAATGAGCTTCCTCTCCCGAGGCCTGCCATCTGGCCATTCCTCCCCGAAACACAGGTGGATCTCAAACTGTGGGGGCCGGTCTGCCTGGCCCTTCTGATGGGCGATCACGCCTGCAAACACAGCCAGCTTTCAGACTCTCCACCCTGCCACAGCTGCAGACTTACTGAGCAAGGGAAGGAGACAAAGCGCAGCCAGAGACTAGACCTGAAAGTGGGGCAGCGAGTCAGAAGAAAGAGCAGTCAGAGCACAAGAGACAGAGAGAGACTGACAGAGGCAAACACACAGAAAGACCCAGAGCCCGCAGCAGGAAGATCTTTTGTCCTTTAAACTCCACAAATGGTGTTATTTGTTTTTATCTTAAGGTTTTCCTTTGTGCACAACTTGTGCACAACAACAAAAGTTACAAACATGAAAAGGCCATTGAGCCCACATAGTTCGTTCTGATCCTAGTAGATGATAGATCCAAGCAAACAAATCTCCCCATAGTTTCTACTTTCCACATAGAACTTCTACTTCTCAGATTACTATTTCATTGTTGTTTCTGAGAAGTCCGCTGGGTAGACTTTGTCAATGCCTTGAAGGACTCTGAACGCTTCAGTCAGGTCCCCTCATAGTCTTCTTAGTTAGACTTAATTCCTTTCAGCTGCCTGTGAGGCATTCATTTAAGGCCCGAGAATTAACTTTGTTGCCATCCTTTGGACTAGTATCTGAGCAGCAATGTCCTTGGAAATCTGCTTGGAAGCAATGCCAAGCCACCTGCAGACAGATGCAGGCAGAAAGCAGTCACAGAAAGTGGGGAGCTGGGGATGCCCAGAACAACAGACCGGCTGACAAACAGGAAAAAGGGAATGGACGTGGAGAGTGGGGACAAAGTCGCACACTGAGAGACAGGGAGGTGCCTCCTTACCGCTGAGGAAAGTCTCCAAGCAGAACAGTTTAACCTTCCTCTGCCTCTCGATGAGGTTGGGCGTGGTGGGGCTGCTGGCGCAAGGTCCCGACCAGTAGACCTTGCACTGGCACAGCCGCACGGCGTAGATGTCGTGTCCGCTGACCTCCAGGATGAGGCCGCGGTCCATGACGTCCAGCAGGCGGTTGGTGAAGAGCCGCTGCTTCTCGTTGGTGATGTTCTCGGTGGAGGGGAAACGCACTTGCTCCAGGCTGATTGGCCCAAACAGCTCCTCCTGGTTCACCATGGGGCCGAGGTCACCATAGAACAACCGGCAGCCTTGGGGGTTACTGACCGTCATAGGTGGACAAACCTCCTTACCGCGGTACTGGAACTGAACCTCCAGATCTGTCACTGCAGGAGTGCACATGACACAGAAGAGTTAGTGGGTTAATGCAGCCAATCAGAACGCTAGCTTTTTACATCAACTATAAACTCTTCCGTTTAAATCCCAATCAGAATATTCAAAAGGAGAGCTGAAGTGTCATCAGAGTCTGGCTTCTTACATTATCCTTCCCAGTTCACACCTCAAGACCTTTACAAACTTTCTAAAAGGGCTTCGACAGACAGCCCTGATTTCACATCTTCATCCAAGTTCTAAATATTTACAACTGTACAAAAACATGATGGCTGTAATCCAAGCCCAAATTGAATCCCTACATTCACAGAATCTTAGGACAACTGTTGGCACACCTCTCTGTACTCTTCAATATGTCCATTTTCGCAGTCTAAGTAGTAGATGCAATACTTCAGAGCCTAGATATCAAAAAAGGAACTGAAGCCAAAACCCAAGAGTCTCTACATGCGTTTTCTGATTTCGTATGGGAGTCATACAAATGTTTGTTCCAAGGCAAGCTGGCTAGACTGAGTGCTGTTTTCCTCCACCAAGAGGGACGCAGCTCAACCTTTACACAGCGGAGGGCAGTGCTAGGCTCAGACAGCTCTGACCCTCTGTGGAGTCGGATAGACGCTGGGCACAGGTCCAGCAGCTCAGATAGGCAAATGAGAAGGGCAATGATCTTCCTATATCCTCATCACAACTGCTAAGCGAAACAAAATAAAAGTCAGGCCAAGCACAACAGAAAAACCTATTATAGGAGACCGATTTTGTTTTCAGCACCATCTCAGATGGTATTTTTTTTATCATTCCACCTTTTTCCTTTAACATAACCAAGAGTAATCTGTTGCTCTTCTACTTGCTGTATCTTGCTCACACCATCACAAGCAGAAAGATAAGCGTCTCTGTCTTGCCTTCTCACTCTCTGCGCTGACTGAGGGGTAAGGCAGAAGGTGCAAAGGGTCAGCGCTAACCCAGCCAGCATGAAGACCCGCAATGCCATACTCACTGGGCAAGGAGCTGATCCACATTTCTGGCGAAGTGAACATGGTTTCAGGGAGCGGAGAGGCACGCATCTCGAAGTCAGTGGGCTCCTCCTTGGGCCACACCTCAGGAGCAGGAGGAGGGCAGCTGGGGGGCTGGATAGGGGAGACGGATCCTGGAAGAGGGAGAAAATTACTCTGTTTCGCTTAAAACACAAGACCAGATCGGTGAAGTAAATGTTGCTCTGTAGCCGAGTCATCCAGCATTTTTAAAGATCTAATTCTTTCATGACGCAAAGGCTATACAATTTTTAGCAAAAAAAAAACTAAGAGAACAGCAAATGGACAGAAACAAAACTTAAGGATCGAAAGAAGTGAGTTCAGGGAATCAAAGTGATAGTGCTTATAATAAAATTATAATCTTCATTAATGCACCTATAAATTAGATCCGATCAAGAATATGGTAGAGGCTTCTTTTACAGTGACATAACAGTGCCTTTTACTAAAACATACACTCAGATTTGAGTTAGCAGGATCATGACGTTATTAGCACACGGTTGTGCTAATTTTCCTAACCTAAACTCCTTATCTTAATCACCCAATTGGATGCTTGTCTAGATTTTTGTACTCTACATTTGAACAAGCTTGCCTTACTCGGTCATTGCAAGGTTCTATGGAGTGGCTGGAGGTCTAATTCAGAATATTGTGCGAAAGTGAGTGATGCCAACGCTAATGAAGCTGGGCAGTGGAGGTTAAGAGTGGGCCTCTGGTCTCTCACCGTTCATCTGGAGATAAGGAATGGGCTCCAGAGATTCCTCCTCGTCTTCCTCAGGCTCACCATCATTCTCCTCCCAGGGAACGGAGCCTGTCGACCCTGCAACATCCACGCATGCTCAAAACTCACAGTAACCCGACTTTGTGGCGGAAGCAATCAGGACCTATTGAAATATGCTTTTAATAACCTCTTCCTAAATTTCCTCTATACTGAGGAAGAAAGAAAGTGATATACTTACGTGAAACAGATGCATAACTTATGTTTAAGAAGCTAATTCTGGATGTTGAATTAGCAGTGTTGTCTATGAAAACATTTTCTTTTAAGACCTTAAACTCAGCATTATAAATTAAAATAATGTTTCAATTATCGTATGAGATGGGAGGACCATCACCCTGACAACGATGTTTAAAGATTGTCTCTTAATGTGCAGCCCCATTGCATTCCTACTTTCTGCTGTTTTAAATACTATACTTGTCAGTAGCATCCCTTCCCAAACTCCTAGATCAGGGAATACCAACTCCCAGCCTCAGTGTTAAAAATCAAGTAGGATTTATAAGTTTCCTACAGTTATAAACAAGCATACCTCTTCAACAAGGATTAAACTGACCCAGTTAAAGATTAACTAGTCTAATGTACCCTGTCTCCAGCCTTACACTGTTTAAAGATTTCAAGTGTTTTTTTTTGCACAGAACATCTGTTGGGTTCCAGTCCCTGAGGATGGCAGCTGGGAATCCCTGCCCTATCTCTTTAGATGCAGGCCTCCTCAGCCTGCCTGCAGTTCCAATCAAGACAGTAGGAAGAGCAGAACCCTCACCTATGGGCTTTCAGTCTAACAAAATACCCCATTACAGAGATGCCAACCAGAGATGTTTGAAAAGGCCACTAGTGGCTCAATAACTCCACTGTGTCATATTCACAGTAGTCTTGGCGATGACGGTGGGACATGGCAGGAACATGGTAATGGCTAAGCCCATCCATTTAGGAGTTAAAATAGGAGGTGCTTATTTACACACAGAGTTGCAGGTTTCCGTAAAAAAATGGATGTTGCTGAAGCCTATTTCCTTGTGATCACCTTGGGAAACAGCTGGAAGAGGTCCTAGAATCAGATCGCTAGCAACTTTAGCAAATTAGCTAAATGCGACTTTTTTGACCTTTGTTATCCTCTGATGTCAGGCTCTAAATGAGGACAGTTCACATACGTGTCCCCCAGCGCCACGTGTGCGATTGAGCACGCACCTGGGTTGCTGAGGGGCTGGGGGATGTCACACACGTCGTAGATCTTGAGCGGGTTCATGGGCACCTCCTTGGTGCCGTCATAGATAAGGTTGAACTCGCGACTCTTGTTGAGGGCGCAGCGCAGCTGGGCTTTCCACTTGGCGGGGTCGGGCTCGTCGACCCCCTCCTGGAACTTCCCCGTCTCCACAGCCCACGCCTGATTATTTCACAATCGATACAATTATCAGCCATTATCATGTAACAATCATAGAAGCTAGACTTTTTGCTGTGCCCAAAATAATGTAAGAAAGCCCTCACCTTCTCAAGTAGAATGTTTCGGTTAAGCTGACCGTAACACCAGAGAACTGCCTTTCTAGTCTGATCGTAAGAGAGCATTTCCATTTAAAGTGCTAACTATTAATTAGCTGTTTAGTTTGTACGTGCATGTGCATGTGTGTGAATTAATTTGTCAGAGCATTTAAAACTTAGAACAGGAGGCATGTCTTTACCCAGAGGGTTGTGGGGGTGTGGAACAAGCTACCCAAACACGGATCAATCCAACAGTTAGTCAGCTACTCACAGACAACTGGGCTAAATGGGTCGAATGGCCTCCTGTCATTTGTAATCTAACCTAAAGTATGCTCTTATGATCTTATCAGTTTTAAAAGATAAAGAACATGCTTTAAACTGCTATTTGGTTAAACCTTTTGTAGTGTTAAACAAGTTTAAACAAGCAAAAATATTACAACCTACTATATTGCAAGGCTGGTATTTTATTATGGAAATTTGATCACTGTCAATTTATAAAAATGGAAAAACAGCTTGCCTAACTAGCATCACATCAGAGTCTGGAATGGAGAACTGAGCCCTGTTTACAGCACAAAAAGCCAGGAAAATAGCTTTAAAACTTAGCGTGTGTCAGAGAAACACAATTTTGAAACTTGAATACACAAACAAAACCAGTCCCAGGAAGAATTCATCAAGTCGGCCTCACTTTAGGTAAAGTTATCCTCCTTATGCAATTATTCAAAATGATCCCAGCAGTCTTCCATGAAAATAATAATTTTGTTTTCCCATGAAAACGAGAAAAATGCAGGAGATTAAATTGGGATTGCTTTATTTAAAATTTCAACTTCTAGCACAAAAGAACTGTGCTTTAGGAGTGTCCGAGTCAGAGGCAGAGGCCGCGATACCTTGAAGATGGTGTTCTCCTCCTCGTGCTGGGGCGAGTGGCGCGTGGCATGTTTCCAGGGGATCTGAAAGCGTTTGGCCTCCCTGTCCAGCCACACCAGGCCCGGGTATTTCCCGCTGTCCACTTGGGACACCAGCCACGGCTTCAACCGGACACGCCGGGGGTGTGCTGCCATGACCTGTGGCACATAAAGAAAACCGAGCCTCAGATTAGCTCCCCATCTTCAGATAACCCAAGATTTAACGGTGTTTATAACAAAAATTTGAGAGGGACCAATCAGACCAAGCTACCAGCAATCTGCAATCAATCCTGAAGTCATTTCTTCATCTAAACATTATGAATACTGTATATTACCTTTTTCTCATCCTCACATATATCGTTTTGCATCCCATCTCCACCTCTGCAACAACCTATTGGTAACTCCTGCTTCTGGATGGGGGTCCCAGCCAATGTTTCCTCTCATTTTTAATGGCTGGTGTGCGCAAAAATTTCAAGTTGTCCACATTTTTTCCCCAAGTGAAAAAAACTTAGATTGAGTTTATGTAAAATTTTCAACCTGAAATTATTTTTTGTTAATATAGTCATTCTCATAGAAGCATAGAGATCCAAAAGACCGGGACAGCCATTCAACGAGCCCTGTCATAGAGACTGAGTGTCGAGCGAGTATGAGCAGTGAGGTACGAGACTACGAGAGCATAGATGTAGATTATCTAGCGGCAATAATAATGCACACAGCCAAGTTGGGCCTCACACAGCCAGTCTCGTGATCAAATTAGCATTTTTCAATTGACGACTGTGTTTGTTTTATTATTATCATTTTTTTTAATTGAATTTTTTGTGCGCAGTTCAATTTCCTAACCACAGTTTAGAGGGAACAATAGTTCCAGCCTCCTCATCCTGTGGCCAGGAGGTCAGCCCTCAGCCAAGCGGGTTGAGCCAAATATTGCCTAAAACACTTTCCTTATCCTTTCATTACACTTCATTCTTGGGTGTTGTTTTTCCTAGTGAATTTCATTTAATCCACCCATTAAAGGAGAACATGATGTTGAGCTTGTGCTTGGTTAATCTGGAATCTGATACTTCACTTGTTTATATAAATACGGTCTATTTGTGATTATATAACGAGCATCAAAAGTAACTAAATAAAAGTGGATATGTGTGGCTCATTAGTTCCGTTCTGTGTTTTTCTCTCTGGATTACTAACAGACATGACAGTCAAGAGACTAAATCAACTCATCATCCATGTCCAATCAACTCTCTTCACTAATTAGGTAAAAGAGAGATTTTGTAACAGCCACTTGAGCATATTACAGTCATGAACGATCGGCTTATCAAAATGATTGGCTAAACAAAACCTTTTAATTGATATTGAAAACTGTATGCTTCTAAAAACATATAAGCATAATTGAATGAGAAATTTGATTGGGTGATCAGCGTTCTGAAGTCCTTTTCTTTTAATGCCCTTCACATCACACCACAAGCACACTTTTTATATTTGTTTCTGGTCAGAGGTGCCCAGTGCAAACACACCAGCAGATCCCCCACCTGAACTCAGGAGGAGATATAAGACATCCTGGTGTTATTAGATTGGTGTTAACACTCAGACAGACCCTCTTCCAGCTGCCATGCTGGCCAGACATGAAATGGCCTTTTACCATAATGGTTGTGCTGGGTTTGCCCCTCTCTTGCTAGTGTATGAGTAGGAGCCCTGGCATTTTAGAGGATTAACAGCTTCAACTGGTGCAAATACTAAGCATGATCCCCTTTCTGACTGCTTAATAGGTGGACACTTCCCGTTTGCGACACAAGTCTCGGTCTCAAGTCTGGGTCTCAGCCAAGTCCTGTCAGTTCACACGGCGTGGACTCAAACAGGCGACCGCCCTCAAATCTCCGACACATTTCGCACTCATGACAAAACCACAAGTGAAAGGGTCCCTTTCTTCCTGCCGAGTTGCAGTGTTATGAATGTGCCACACCTGCAATAACCAGACAAGCCCTGCAAATACAATGGTAGGCAACCTAAAATGCATGCACACTTCACATAGGAATACAATTTGAAAGTACTTCTTTACACCAAGGGTCGTGGGTGTCTGGAACAAAGAACTTCAACATTAGTTAAAGCTGATTCTCTCATCTCTCACTTAGGAACTTTTATTTTTTGTGGAGTAGAGGGGATTGGGCCTAGCACTTTCCTTAAATTCTGATCGGGTCCCCCTGGCATCCTTATTGTATATAGTGGGAGATGCTGTTTGCAACCTTTCTTATTTTCTAAAGAGGAATTATCAATCCATCCCATTTCTAACCACTCTTTCCAATCCGGGGTCGGGCGCTGCCAAAGCCTATCCCGAGAAACAGCAGACACAAGGCAGGGTACACCCTGGACAGGGACGCCAGTCCATGCAGGGCAGACACTCAGACACGCACACACTCACGCCTAGGGCCAGTTTTCCCAGGAGCCAATAAACCTGCCGATGCTCTTGGACTGCGGGAAGACTAAAGAAGAATTGTAATTGTTTCAAAACTTTGTCACACATATATTCACACAAGTAAGAACACCACAGAATTAAGAACCCAAGAGGATGTTTTTCCAACTGCTCATCACCTCTGACAAATTCAGCCTTATTTTTAGAAGCCACAAGTCAACTCAAGTGCATTAATTTTTACTGATGTGTTTTTGAGGGCAAACAAATATCCATTTCATCACTACTCCTCCTACTTCAGTTCAGTGTCGGTAGTTCTAAATCAGCACCACTAAACCCTTACAGCTCAGTCAGAAGCCCAAGGTGCAACATTTCATTTGCCCTTGAGCAAAAGCTGTGCAAACATTTCAGCAAAGTGTCCTGGAAATTATTAATTCTATGTCTTCCAGGCTAAAAATATCAATGTAATGTTTGACCTGGGCAACAGAGACAGCTTATCTTTTAAAGCCCAGTAGGTCCTGTTGAAAACAGCTCTGACCTTGAGTTACATAACCTAACACTGTTTCATATTCCTGGAACAGGATATCACGAATTAGGTCAAACACTACTCATCTCCAGCAAGGTGATTCTCAAATTTACTCTTGTATCTCTGAAAATCCATAGCTTTCTTACCTTACTACCTGGCAGCGATGAAAATAAATAGTATTTAATGCAACAAATGCATTGGATATGCAGGAAGAATTAATGTAAACTACCCTGTGATCAAAAAGGTGTTATTACTGGCGGAATATGGTAACCCCATACTCCAAAGCTGACAGACCAGTTTCAGGTCACAAAAAGGCAGAATTTAACTTATGTTCCGGAACTACGACTGTTTTTAATAAACATGCTGATTCGCAGCAGTGTGTCTGTCGTGTTTGAGGCCTTTAACTCTATTGCCCTATTGCAGTACCCTATTGCAGTGCAGTAATAACTTTTTTCTGCTTACAGTATGTATGTCTCAAACATATTTAGTAGAAGTACGTTAAAAATAGCAAACAATCCTCATTTTGTGTTTTTTTTACTATTAAGGTTTGAATAAATTGGCAGTGAATTTATTATTATTATTTATTTCGGGATGTCTAGAGTTCATTTCTCTTTAAACAAGTTTAGAAAAGAAAATAAGATTCAAGCTCACAGAACTTCATCACTAAAATCCATTAGGTTATACCCTTTCCGTACTCATCCAAGTTTTGAATAGCTCATAAAAGCGAAGCTTTTAAGTTAAACAAATAAAACTGATTCCGCGACTGGCCAAAAAGGTCAAACTAAGTTAAAAGGGTTATTTTTCGCAGCAAAACGCGATTTAGACCGTAACGATACTGTACGTGCGGTGTTTATACGACCCTGGACAGCCCTGAGCCCTGTGGGTTTGTCGTGTTTGGTCTCACCTGCCGTCACAAGCGAGCTGAAAGCTGTTTCCTCGTATCGAAAAGTGGGCCGAATTCAGACCTCTGAATCCCTGCAGAATTTTCTCTTCTTCCTCACTTTTCCAGCAATAACAAAACAAATCGCCAGTTGATCCTAAGTATTTCTACTCGATCTAAGTTCCTATTTTAAAAGGCAGTTTCACTGTTATTGTTTTTTTTCCCCTCTAACTTTACTTCAGTCAGTCCGCCCCTTCTACGGGTAACTCAGGTATGTCAGTGACGTCACCTCAGTTCCAGTCAGACACACCTTATTGAGTAAAAGGACACAGACACGGACCTTGGACTCATTGATTTCTGTGCTCGTTTTCCAGTCTCGATCAGGGTGTTATACAGAAACTAGTTTGTCATCACGAATATTCACCTCCGGCTGTTTTTGTTCTTGGTTTTTTTAATACGAGTCTTCTGTCTTTCAACGCTCTGGAGCATTATTTTTTCTATAAAGTTACCGAATTCAAAACAAATAATAATAATGGCTTATACATAATTTATTATTGTTTTTGTTTCTGCTGCTGTGCATATTGCTTCTCCAAATAAAATGTCCAAAATCTATATAATGTATAGACGTAGTTATGACGACGTTTATTGTGTGTCACTATATGTATTTACGGATTACTCATCGTTTGGAATTAGATGACTAATTTTATGAGATTTGTTTACATGAGGGTTTACAGATTTCAGGCATTTGCCCGTTTACCATACCGACATTTCTGTAACAATATTAAAAAATGTCCCTGTATAATATAAAACCTACAAATTATTTATCGACGGGACTGGAATAATACCTCCGTGCCTCCCACACAATACTTCACAAATAGAAACAAAACCAGACTGTGCTGCTCCTCGTGACCTCACTTTCTTTAAGTCAGAGTACTGTCAGAGCTTCCGGTTTCTGTGAACCTGAGTTGCACATTTTTTTTTTGTTCAGATACCTGAATCTGCTAACGCCCCGCCCTGAAACTGCCCGAGGTTAAGCTCTGGTGAACCTTTGCCAAGACAAGATCCATGGCTTTGCAAATTACCTATGAGCTTCTAAATAGTACAGTAGATAGCTCATCGTCTCATCGTATGTTTAGCCAATACGGAGCCTACTAGAAGCTATCTGGGGCCTTTTGATATACTGTATTAAGCAGATCACTGGCCCGTGCTTTATATTAGTAGTATTAGTATTTGTTACTATCACCTGAACGCAATTATTAAAAACACAGGCATCTGTCAGATGGCTCCAACAGCAATTTGCAACCAGTTTATAAAGGTCTGAACTTGTATTTTGTTGGTATGAACTGGTTTAAACTGCTCACTGGTTAATTTCTGCTAGTAGTCCAATGATTCTCAGTAGAGTGTGCACTGTCTCGTTAGAAGCTGTAATAAACTGGTTTGTAATGGCTACTGAATTGTTATGAACTGAATAGTACTGGTCACACCTAGGTAGCAATGGAACCTTTTCTACACAAAATTGGTTATAGTTTGATGCCTCCAACTAGTGTATGTAATGACAAGCATATGATTTGCAGTTTGTTATAAATTATCGTGCTGTTTATCTTTGTCTATTTACTTCATCGTTCTCTTCATCTGTATAAATGTATAAACAATATTAATGAGCTGCATGCAATCAGAATAACCAACCTTTATTAGGACCTCACTGTTCAGAATGCCAAATAATGCCTTTCAAGAAAAATAATTGGTACCTTAAATGTCTCCTGGTACTGGGATTGATTTTTCTATTCCAGCCATGTATTTATAGTCCTGAAAGCAGGTAACACTGGATTTGTGTTTCACAATTATCAGTTTGTTTGATTAATATGTTTCTAGTGCTTTGTGCCATCAGGCTCTTACGTGCCGAAGGATGGGTAATGAAGAAACCCTGATTCATGCCCTCATCACATCTCGGATTGATTACTGTAATAGTCTTTACAGTGATCTCTCCCTGCTCCCTCCCTAAACAAACTCCAAATGGTTCAAAACTCAACTGCTTGACTTCTAGCACATTCAGGGCTCCATGACCAAAAAAACCCAATCCTGACACACTTCATGGACTCCCTAGGCTCAAGACATATCTGTTTTGTCAGGCTTTCAATTAGTGCCCTCCTTTTCTCCCTTTACCACTTTTTTATTTGTTTCTTTTTTTCTGTTTAATGTTTTCTTTAAATTTTATTTTCCTCTTTGTGTGTGTTTTTGCCTGGTAAATTGCACCAAACACTGTTTGGTGTACTGAAATGATTAAATAAATCCTTGTGATCCTTGTTATGAAAACATTGTTTCTCTCTAACTCCTTGGAATTTTTTTTTCTTTCTGCGTAGTGTCTGAGATTGTAATGATCCTGTGATCAGTATATCTGGAACCTTCTCATATTCCCTGTTACAAACAAAAAAGGCCTGCAGCAATTTCACGATGACGCAAGATGTTTTTGGTCAGATGATACAGCCTTGTTTAGAGAGGTGGCAGAGTAAAAACTAGGTCACAAAGAGATTTGCAAAATGCAGAGATAAGAAGTAAAGGTTTGCTTGCACATATGCATCCTCCTCACCTGTGGAGCTGTAATAGAAGACATTCAAGCTCAGTTCAGGTTATAACTCCCATTTACAATGTAGGTATCAATACAGGTCCATAGATCTTCATTTTCAGGGACATACAGTCTCCTGAAAGCTATTAATATACAGAAAAGAAAGTGTGTAGCTGGCCTCTGAATAATGCACTTCACCTGTATCCAGTTCACCCCTGACCCTTGACCCGCATCTCCTTGACCTTTGACCAACTCTTCCAGCCACTGCACTCATTATAGGTAAAATAAATACATACCAATCATTCAAAGAGTTTCTAGAAACGATTTTGTGCGCACAGCTGTTCAACATCGGAGTTATTGAAATAAAATTGGAGTTGCATACATAAATCTCACTTTAGGATGGTTTTGTGCATAGTTCTTGTTATGCTGATAACAGGTGAAGAGTAGTTCACGTTAAACATTTAGTGAGTTTGATGGAGAAAGCCATACAAGGTATAAGGTTTTCTGGCAGTTCAGCTGAATCACTTTCTCACTCTTCTGTTGAGTTGGCTTGACAGAGGCAGAAGGAGAAGGAAAACACAGGTGAATCAAAGGGTACCTGCATGACAAGCTTGATGATATAGTACTGCTGATATAGGTACATCGAAGCTGCAAGTGAGTATGAGATGCTGAGAGATCTTCTACGTGCTCCTGTATTTCTTGTTACATTAGATTGGGCTTGATTTATCATTGTTTTAATTTGTTATTTTGGTAAAAGCAAAAAAAGGAAAGGAAAGTCTTTCAGTGCTGCAACTCCAATATAACACAAATGAGACCTGACACTTCTGGGCTAAGAGAATTAATCGGCTTGTCATTGTTGTCAGCAATCAGTGTCAATCTGCAGAAGAACAGAGGTAGGCACCCACTGTTTGGAGCACAGGGTGGACCATGGAGGGTCTTCTAGCTCTCATTCCACCCTGGAGTCTTGGTGACTTGCTTTGAGAAGTTATTCATATACTTGGTGGGTTTCCAGGTCTTTAGTCATTGATGATAATACATCAACCATAAAACAGGGTGGACTGTAGTTCTCCTGAAGCAGGACAGAATCACTGATCTAGAACATCACTGGACAGCGGCACATTGCCATGCCTTCTCAATGAGAGCAATAGGCACGTTTTACAGTTCATCACAACAATTAGATGAATTGCTTGTCCACCTTCTCAACTACAGTCCACCCTGTTTAATGCTTCCATTTTTATGCTGACGATACTCAAATATACATCCATACCAAACCTGACACTGATGTGGCTGTCTCTATTCTATCTAAAAATTTGGATGACTCAAAATTTCCTTCATCTTAACTGCGACAAGACTGAAGTCATGCTTATTGGTATCTCCCATCAACTTCGTAAAGCCAGTCCTGTAACGATATATGTAGATGGCTCTGTACTTGAGCTTCAATCAAAATTGAAAAACCTTGGGGTTATATTCGATTCTGGCTTAACATTCGACCCACATGTGCAGCATACTGTCAAAACATCTTTTTTCACTTTGGAAATATTGCAAGACTACGCCCTATGCTATCATTAACTGTGGCTGAAAAGCTGATAAACATATTTGTATTCTCTCGAATTGACTACTGCAATGCTCTGCTCGCTGGGGTATCTAAATCTACTCTGAACAAACTGCAGTATGTCCAAAATTCACCAGCCAGAATCCTGACCAGGTCTAGTGCAAGTGTTCACATTACTCCTATTCTGGAGTCCTTTCACTGGCTTCTGGTCAAATTCCGTGTAGACTTTAAAATCCTCATGCTCACCTATAAGGCTCTGCATGGCTTGGCACCTCAATACCTGTCTGAACTATTATCGCCCTACTCCCCACCTCGCAACCTCGGCTCTTCAAATTCTGCCCTCCTTGCTGTCCCCCAAGCCCGTCTACATTGTATGGATGACAGAGCCTTCTCCTGCTATGCCCCCAAGCTCTGGAACTCTTTGCCCAAGGATATCAGAGAGTCACCTTCTCTAAACTCCTTCAAATCCAGACTCAAAACCCTCTTCTTCAGAAAAGCCTTTACTTAACTGGTTCCATTCTTCACCCCTCTGCTCTTCTTAGTACCACCTTTCACGGTCTCCTCTATTGTTATTGTTGTAATTGTAATTGTAATTGTAATTGTGTCTTATCTTGTGTATTCTTCTTATTTATTGTTGTATTCTTCTTATTTATTGTTATAGTCATCCTGTAAAGCGCTTTGAGAAGCCACCTTTAAAGGCGCTATATAAATTAAAGTTAATTATTATTATTATTATTATTATTATTATAATTGTGCGCTTACAAAATGTGTCACATCTAATTCTGACATGCAGCAGGAGTGATTGTTAGGGGCAAGCTTCTAAAAATCCCAACCTTGCCATTCATTAGATGTTATTGTTTATTAACTTACTGTTAACTATCAATTGCATTCTTTCAGGAGTGGGATGGTGCCGTGACATCATGAGAGAATACTAACTGATATGTGTGTGCAATAAAACTTCAGTTTTGGCTTTTGTTTCCTGATTATGTTGCTCTTTCTGCAAGCTCCGCTAAGGGCCTCTTGTTTTTCAGGTGGCCTGTAATGTTTTAAAAACCCCAGCATTGCAGACCCTCACACACAACCTCTCATCATCTATTTCTTAGAGATGATTTCATCCTGTCAATCACACCTGCATTACCGTAAGTGCTCTCCTCTAAGCGTTTCTAACCTGATCACCTTACAGGCGAAATCCTCCCCAGCCAAGAGTACAGGTTGGCTTTTTATAGCCTGATCACATGCTCTGTGACAAAGTCATAGTTATTTAGGATTATAATTAGTTGGTGGGTGACACACTGTGAGGTGGTCGTCAGTTCTGCTGCCTTACAGCTCTTGGGTCCTGGGTTCTGTTCTGGACCAGGATACCTTCCGTGTGTGGAGTTTTGATGTATTCCACATGTTTCTGGGGAAACTGTTGCAGGGCACTACAGATTCCAGCCACCTACCAAAGACCTACTGGCTGGGTTTATCTGCTGTTTCTAAATTCTCTCTGTGAGCTTGTATGTCTGAGTGCCCAGTGATAGACTGGCACCTTATGCAGGGGATAGTCTCTGCTTGTGCCCTGTGCTTCTGGGATAGTCTTCAGGACTAACTTTCCTTACCAGGAATAAGCAGCTTTTTGTGATGAATGGATGGCTAATTAGCCAGGAAAAACAGCCTGTGGAATGGATACTCAGATTGTTACAAAGCAAAAAGGATTGGTTTTCGCCTCTGCAATATGTCTAATCGTCTAGGAAAAGTCAGGAGTTTACATTCACTCAGAATGGGACTCATCAGTACAGTTTAGCCACATCCTGAGTTCCTCTCACATCTACGTGAAAGTACATTTAAAACTGAGATCAGGAAAACTTTATCCAAAGTGTTGTGGCAGTATAGGACAAGCTTCCCAGCCATGTTATTGAGGGCAATACCCTGACTCCTTTCAAGAAACAGCTGGGTGAGATCCTGGAATCAATTAGCTTCTAAAGTAAAATAAAAAAGGCTGGATGGGCCTCCTTTTATATATGATCTTTCTTATGTTTGTATGTTTTTATGTTCTTATGCGCGTGTTTCAGTTCATCAGGGTTTGATGTGCAATTCAAGCCTCTGGGTATCTCTGTCCTTAGCAACACCTGGAACCTCCCCTCAAAGTAAAACTGATTTGTGGTTTGTAAATGTCTTAAATGATTGTTCTACTGTACATGTACAGTATGTACCACGGTATATAGAATAGATGTAAGTCAGCCGTAAGATAGACTGCCCGTCCCATCCAGGACGAGAGTATATACTTCAGGCCCTGGTTTTCCTCCTGTGCGTCCTTATAAGGCTTCAAGTCATTGCTGCCCACACCAGTATTTTGAATAGATCTTCCAGTGTGTTAAAGAGGAAACATTTTTTTTCTCTTTTGAGACACTTTTTTCTTACTTCCCTACATTGGGTATTTCCCTTGTGCCAAAACTCTTCCCTGGTACAAAGACCAAGTTAAGGTCTGTCAGAGCTTCAGCTGTTATGAGATATAATTCTAAGTGCACTTCAAGTCTGGAATTTTTCTTTAAAACAAAGGATTACATTTTTCAAAAGATCTTTTGTTTTTTTCTCTTGGTTTCCTAGCACTGGTGTGTCTTAATTCGGGTTCTGCAGCTGCTGCACTTTACGTTCGATGTTTTAAGAATGGTTTTGTATTTCACTATGAACAGTGTGGGGCACTTATTGTTGTTTCACCAAGGAAACAGAGGCCTCTGTCATTAAATGTTCTTTGTGTTTTATTTGAATAGATTTTATATTTGATGATGGAGAGCAAAGTCCAAGCTTTCAGTATCATGAAAGCCACAACACTAGAATGCACATATGTGACTGAATCGAATAGGTTTTTTTTAAATCTTGTAAACTTTGGATGCAATTCTTCATTTTCTTTTTCAGTCACATGTTTTGGGCACAGCAGTTTAACCACATTTATCCAGTATTATCCCCTAGACTGACTGATGAAGATTACCTACTTGCTATTTGTGAAAATGAAGCCAGTTTGCCAGTTTGACAAGATGCCCTAAAGAACAAAGCGGTGTGCTTCAGACTAGGCCAGAGACACCTACTGTAGCTGCCCCTGCCACTTGTGCACAGACACTTGGGGAAACAATGCTCACAGGTGGCCAATGGCTTAGCCTCAACTCACAGCAGTGATGTCTGGGTCAAAGGCGCTTGGCCTGAACCTAACAGAAAGCTCCATATTTGTGATATTTACGTTCAGAAGCCTCACCCATCCAAATCTGGATGATACAAGTCACTCATGGCAGTATTTTGTTTGTTTTTAAGCTTGGTGAGTCATGTCAATATCCTAGAAATGTGTTCTTGAAACTCCAGTGAGAAAACGCCTGCTTTGGGCTGCGTTTGTTTAGCCAAACAAAAAGCCTTTGAATAAACAGAGCTAATGAGTAATGGTTGCAAGCCTCCACTGTTTGTCCATAAGCAACAAGCACAACAACACCAGGTTTACAGTGTTTGCCTGTCTCATATCACCTGTGTGTTTGCCACACATGCTTTCTCCTCTGGGTTTAAGCTGACATTATTTATAATAAAATCCGACTATATATAGAAATCCACTGGGAGATTAAAGACTGAGAAGGATTATAACTATATGATTCAGCGGATTTGGGATACAAAGAGAAGGTTGCAGGTGCCTCTATTTACTGTCCTGGAGTTCTACACTGTCCAGAATTCACTGACATGTGCTGTGCTTAAAAAGTTATTTTAGTGATATAGCTTCACTGACTGGCTTCTCTGTGCTTTTGTGACAGTCTCTCACTGGCTTTTAGCAGGATGTGCTGTTGATGCCAATCATTCTGATAACAACTCATGTCTGTTCCTGTTTTACATGTTTAGTTTCATTCAGGTGGACATCCATGTCATTACTGTAAAACAACGAGAATTGGTTGAATAAATAAATCAGCAAATGTAAACAATAAATTTAACCCTCAATTGGTTAAATAAATAAATCAAGAAATCGATCATCTGATTTATTTTGATGTCTTTCACCGGCTGTTTTCCATTGACATTTTTTATTTAAAGCACAATGTTTCCCAAAAAGTAATGCGATGTGAAATATTTTATCTTTGAGGAAAATGCTTACTTAAATCCACCACACTTATACTATGATATAGCCTGTATTTTCATAGTGAAAGATAAACTGATGGTGACTGCTGCAGAAGTAAACCATGGTGCACATACTCTGACCAACAGGCAGACTCATGAAAAACATGAGCTTTCTAACTTAGCAGCCTGACAGCAAGTGCAGAAGCTATGAAAAATCCCCCTCTGGAAATATTTTAGCAGAAACAGAGCAGCATATATTGCCCAAACAACTAAATATGAAGGAAGTCACAGAATGAATTATGACAGATTAATTACATGGGATTTCACCATGTTGGAACTGTTTTCAGGTGAGATCGGCTTTGGAGGAGATTGATGGCAAACTGGCCCAATGGTTAAGGTAGCAACTTTTGGGTCCAGGATGGGACCTGAACGCTGAACCTCCTTGTAGTCTGACCAACAGACAAGATGTAAGATATAGTATTTCAAAGTCAAAACAGTTTACTGAGGTGCAATGACTCCCTGTCCACCAGAGTGAAGCATAAAAGTGTGACTAGTGATGGTGATAATCTGGAGAGTTTCAGCTCTACACAATGAAATTGTGCTCCCCAGGAAATAAACTGGTTCTGAGTTTTCTGTTGAACATTTCAACAAAGGGAGGAGATCCTAATCCGGTTCCTTAGATGTTATTTTTTTCTGATCACATGACGCAACACACTGCAGCAGCCTTTCTCCGTATCACCCTACCTTCTCCTGTAACACCACTTGCATCTCATTCTTGGAAGTCATGTGTCCCTGCACCTCTGAATCTTCTGTTGCTCTGTTTCTGCTGCACTAGCGGGTGTATTAAATACATTGGTCATATTGTTAAGCTCAGAGACCCAATCAGAACAAATCTGTGGTGTAGGCCACTGTGTCTCACTTGGTGATGCGCAGACTTCCAGGAACAAAGAAAGAGCAAAGACTAAGTAGACAAGTCACATTAAAACTATAGTGGGATTTGTGCCGTCCCTGTCAAAGAAAATTCCTTCCCACCTCTTACTGTCACTGCAGAGGAGGGCAAAGGACTCTTTAGTGCCATCAATCCCAGTGATCTATTTGGTTTGGCATTAGAAGACACCAGGAATAGGGCTGAAAGGGCAAGTCTTCTATGCAAGGTCTCTGTGATGCATTAGAGGGAATTTCCTATTGAACGTACTGCCTGCTAATTGACTTTGACAGGAGCTGACGCTTCAAATCCCTGGCGCGATCTTAGACAAAACCGATGCCAGGGGCTGGCCGCAGTGCAAGCATTCTAGAGCTGGAGGCAGGACACTCCATTTCAGTTGCTTGTCTTCCGCCCTCCTCACAAATTAAGCACAAAAAAAAAACTGCCACCACATATTATTGACTTAAAAAAACAAAATCAAACAGCCATCAAAACTTCAAATAAAACCCAGTATTGTAGGAGGTGAAGACAAGGAGGCAGATTCTCTTTTCCTTTGCCCGTCAGTCCTGTGGGGGAAGCAATGTCAAGTGAGGAGTAGCTGATTGCGTACGGACAGGGAACAGAAGACAGCAGAGAGCAGGTAAGGGCCTGAGACACAGAGACACAGTCTCGGGACCATGGGACAGCAGCTGAGCGAAGAGAACGACAAGGTGGAGATCGACGTGGCGGAGCTGCAGGAGTGGTACAAGAAGTTTGTGGTGGAATGCCCCAGCGGCACGCTCTTCATGCACGAGTTCAAGGGATTCTTTGGGGTGACAGACAACCAGGAAGCGTCAGAATACATCGAGAACATGTTCCGGGCTTTCGACAAGAACGGGGTAAGAAACAGTGGCCATTCCTTCACATAAACCACTTGACCCCTCTGCTGTTCTTTCATGGAGAGTAATTCAATTTGTGGGGATATTATGCATTATAGCAGTGTAAAAAGAAGGCAGCAATGATTATATCACTCATAAAATGCATGTTTGCTTGATTATTTTGTATTAAAAATTAAATAGCTTATATATGACTGTATATATTACTGATGATTGTATAAACATGTGTTGAGATGGTAGCTGGGCATTGATTGAGTTTATTTAAAAAATAAGTACTGCTTGACTATGCAAATATTTCATTTATTGTGCTTAATAATAGATAAGATTAATTTTTTTAATATATGATAAAATTCCTTTGAACTGAAAAGGAGCATCAACAGAATCCATATAATGAAACAAAGACAATTGAACAGAAGCTCTAACCAACAATGTGCCATCCAAGGTCCCAGTGCTCAGTGCTATCATGACTTAATATTTTGTTCTCAATTTATTCCCTTTGGATATTCTAGGAAACTGCATAAGTTACTAGTAACTAATCAAAAAACTCCCTGACAACGGTCTGAGTGCTTTCACTTATTTAAAAGCAGACAAGTAGAACAGGGTATCTTTGAGACATTTTAATCATCCAGTTTAATATCACAATTACTTGGAAATCAGACATAAAACATTTTACTTCCAGTGTAGTGTAATCTCCTGGCAAGTGGTTGTCTATATGTGCACAAGATAAAATCTAAACTTTGTCATCTGACCAGAAAAGTAGCAACTTTTTATTTCCTTTGTACAGGCAGCATAACTTTGGCATAAAGTTGCAATGAGCCTTGATCCCCTGTGTTTTAACTGAGTTCATGGACAAAAAAAATGAACATCTTTTGCAAGGATTGATCAGTGTTTAGGGCTTATAGTGGCATAGAGGTTTGCTCCCACAGTCCAAAAACATACTGGTAGGATAATCGGAATCTGAGAAAACTGGCCTAGTTGTGTGTGTGTCTGTGTTTGTGTCTGTGTGTGTCCTGCTAGGGACTGGAATCCTGTCCAGGATGAACCCTGCCTTGTGCCAGTTACTTGCTGGGATAGACTCCTGCTCCCCCTTAACCCCAGATTGGAAGTACAAAAACGCTTTGGACTAGAATGGGCAACTCAGCGATGCCAAATAAAACTCCCAGTATGTCTCTAGGAGGCGGCTGGACACCCGAGTACCTGCAATGTGCAAGAATGTGAAACCTCCGCACAGAAAGCCCAGACAGCCCAGCCCATAACGAAATCAGGGACCCGAGAGCTGAGAGTCAGCAGCGTTGACCATCATGCGACTGCTCAAGAACCCCCACACACTTCATGAACAATTTAGTGAATAATCTGGTTTCGGATTCAGGACACCAGTGCTTGAACCTGCAATCATACATATTCTGTAAGTGGAGGTAGTGGATCGAGAGCTGCTGGGAGTCTTTTAAAAAAAATGTAATCAAACCCCTCTGTTGATATGCTGTAACTACAGTACCTTAGGACTTCAGTCTGGGTGCTCATGTTTCATTTGTTCATTTCTTCTTCACTGACCAGGACAACACGATTGACTTCCTGGAATATGTGGCGGCATTAAACCTGGTTCTGCGCGGCAAGCTGGAGCACAAACTGAAATGGACCTTTAAAATGTACGACAAAGACGGGAACGGCTGCATCGACAAGACCGAGCTCCTCGAAATCGTGGAGGTGAGCGGAAATATTCAGACTCTTCAAAAAAAAAAACAGTGCAAAGAATTCTCCTAAAGGCTTTTAGAAAGCCAGTTCACAGCATGAGCATTAACAGACTGTGTGCAACCGGGGCACCTCCCCTGAATAACGTCCTCGATTGGGCTGTCTGATGGAGTGTGCTACAGTAAGAAAGAAATTGTGAAGTCCATGCTCAAGCCTCAGGGCTAATCTTTCCAACCAGTCTGTCCTGGTTTCTGTAGCATTGGGTAAATTTAGAGTTCCTGATTCCCCTTGGGTATGTCCCTGGCTCATTTCTGGCTTACCCAAATAATACCCAGTAATAATGATATCCACTTCTGGAGCACGCTGGGCATACCTCTCTCAAGGGTATAGCAGCTGGCACACAGTGGGGACACATTATTTTCCCATCACAGTCCAGGTTCCTAACCATCACCGTGCCAACCCCCTGTTCATACAGAGAAGTTTTCAAAGGTGTAACAGTGTTTGTCAGCCTTAATCCCTACTGGAAGAATTCTAGAAACAAACAACCATTATGTTACCATTGGAGACCATAGTCCTTACTCAAAGCACTCTCAATATCAGAGCTCTTCAACAGTTCCTCTACATGAATGTATTAAACTAAATTACCACTGTTTCCAAGGGGAGGGAAGGGTGGTTCTAATAGTGCTAATTAAGTGCCTTTAGGTATTTCCTCTCAAGTAACAAGACCGTTTCAGCCTCAGCTCAATAGCTGTATTGCTCCAGACAGTGCTACAAGGTCACCTTAAGCAGGTAAACCAATTGAGAGCTAAAGACTTAGTGGCAAAGAGAGCTCAGGATGATGGTAGAAACTGAAATCGCAGTGTCTCTGTAAAAGCTGCATCAATGAGTCACAACATCTGGGGATGAGGCATCTAGTGTCTGTCCTTCCAAAGGCCAAAAGCCAAAGGTCCATTTCTGAAGAGATCAGATATCTGTGAGGTGGTGTGTTCTCTCTCTTTACTCCTTGCGCTGTCTGCCAACCTGAGAAAAAGTCCATTAGCATGTTCTTCCACCCTGGCATGCATCCCCTTGTTCCTTTACCAGCAGGCAGTCACCCAAGCTAGGCTGGGTCTGTATTAGCGCACTAAGCAGGGACAGAAATAGACAGGGGGCACATGAAGAAGACACATGATTTCTTCAGACTGTGTGTGTAGTTTATGAGGAAACATTATGAAAATAATAAAATAATTTGGGGCTTTCTGAAATACACTTTCAGTTATCAAGACATTGTGATTTTTAAAATTTCCAAAGGAGATAATTATGAGCAGTATGAGCTATTTAAGAAGTCTAGCCTCAAGACATGAAATACAGAGTTTTTTTAGACTTTTGTTTGTTTTTCTCCTTGCTGTTTAAGAAACAAGCAGGCCACCTGTTGTAACTCTATGGAGGTGAAAGATTTGTTACATAAACTGAGCAGACCTCTGAGGAATCTCATTATATCTTTTTTCTGATATGTCATCATATTTTTATACTAACTCAGAAGGTTATTCCTTGTTTTCCTTAAAGCAGAAAAGAATTAATTTTTGTGGAAACAGACTATACTCACCAGAGAGTCATTGTAATAATATTTTTCCGAACTTCTCAAACTGCGCCGCTATGTTTTGCATCCTTTAAAAACATAATAGTAACATATGAAGCTTAGAAATCTGATGTCATGCACATACAGTATATTCATTTCATCAAATGTTTTTATGATTTTATTTGCTTAAAGGACAATGTCTTTGTTGTTGTCAGACAACAATATATTCCAAGTCAGAAATGTTCCAAGATGATATAGTAATCCGTTACGACCTACACATTTCGAGCTCTAAAGCACTATGCTGGTACAGTATGTTATGTCTTGTACTGTGAAGGTCTATGTTGTTTTTCAGTCCATATACCGGCTGAAGAAGGCATGCCATGGGGACACAGATGAGACATGTCACCTCCTCACTCCAGATCAAGTTGTGGACAGGATATTCCAGCTGGTCGATGAGAATGGCGATGGTAAGCATTTTATAGAACTTGTAACGACAAATCAGGAGGGTTGACAACAACCAACAACAACCAACAACCACAGACTCAGCTGTCAGTAATAAGCAATCACTCCTGATATAATTTCCTCTACTAAACCACTACAAATAGGGGATCCCCTTCCCACCCTCGTATACATCTTTTTGCATTCCACCTCCACACCATCTCCACCTCAGCCCTTTGGTCACTCCTCACTCTGCATGGGGGTCCCAGCCTCCTTGCCCTCAGCCAAATGGGGTAAGCCAAATTTTCACTAAACACATCATAATCCTTCCAGTACACTTATTTCTTGGTGTTGTTATTCTCGGTCAACTGATTATGCCTACTGATTACAGACACTTCTGCATGTCGCCTGAATAGCTAAGTCGATGCACTAAATTAACCCAACACTCAGCTCAAACGGATTCAATCAAATGTTTTAATCATAGATATCAAACAAAATCCTGAAAAATTAGTGAACAAAAGTACGGATCAGTCCATCCCAAAATGGTTTCAGTGAAAGACATTAAAAAGTTGGTATCATATACAGTATGACCCCCCCGGCACATTAACATTAATGCAGTCCTGGCAGCCATGGTACCTGCTGGACAGATGCCTTTGAGAGGTTCCTCCTCACTTCCTGTGCAGCTACAGATGATCAGCAAAAGCTGGCCTCTTGCAGTTGTCACCCATGTCTCTAGTGAGTTGGTCCCACAGGTCATGAGAAAAGGCTGACCATAGCAAAACTGCAAGATTGTTTTCAGTTGCCATTGTAATCCTGGCACTTTATTTCTCTCACTGTCATACTGGAAACACGGCACTCCTGGATTGGCTTATAGCAATGAAAAAATTGCCCAAGTTCTTTGCCAAGGTGTTGTTGATCAGTAAACACAATTTTCTCAAAGTTGTGGCTCTGTAGAGTTGTGTGGTTTTGCATCATCATGATGGAAACACAGCAAGATCTAGTTTCTCTTACATGAAAGGAAAAGCTTTTGGTTGAAGAGCTGTGAAGCTGCCTTCATTCTGCACCAAATATGTCCTTAAAAGAGATTCCTTCTCCCTCCTCACTCTTCCAGGCCAGCACTTGCTCTATTTAGCCTACACAAAAAGAATAACCTAAAAGATAGTGCAGATAATTACAGTAAATGCCCCGTATGTGAAATGTTAAAGTATATTATATAGTATAAATATAATAATCTAATCTTTAATTGTACATGTTTAATGAGGAGCAATAAATGATGTAACTGATGCAATAGAAATGGTCAAAATTAGTATCAAAATTAATAAGTAATAAAATACATCTTGAACAGAACAGGCCTGGTTATTAAAAACATTGCCAGCAGTGTAAAATAAAGTGGGACAGTTAGCATTTCCACCCACATTTCCTCGCTGAGAGCGTTAAACCGTTCCAGCGAGGCAGGGAGAGTTTGCAGCACGTGGCTGCCCTGCCCCTCGAGGTGTTAACAGGGCCCTGGTCTCCGCAGGCCAGCTGTCTCTGGATGAGTTCATCGATGGGGCGCGGAGAGACAAGTGGGTGATGAAGATGCTGCAGATGGACGTCAATCCCGGCTGCTGGATCAGCGAGCAGCGCAGGAAGAGTGCCCTGTTCTAGCGTGGCGCAGGCGCTCCAAAACAGGATCTCTCCCGCGATTCAGAGACCTCTCAGCCATCACTCCTAAACCTTACGGTCTTCCACTCTTTTTTCCGTTTTCCTTTTTTGTAAAAAGAGGTTTCGGCTGCACTACTCTGCTCTGATGGAGGCGTTCTGTGTAGAAGAGCTTGAAAGGCTCGAAAGGTTTTCTAGTCGATATGAGTTATGTCTTTGTGTGGTATCCTCCTGTCCCTGTATTGGGAATTCCTGTGATGTGAAATGGAGTTCCAAGAGAGGAGTGATAGACATGGAGGGACAACCTAGTTCATGCATCTCTTGGCACCAAATGGAAAAACCCCTATTTTCCACTGGATTGGGCTGCTGCACAATCCCTACATGCATCTGAACATTCTAGAATGCAAGCCAACAAACTGGGCATCATTGTCACCAGCAAACAGCATCGTTTCAAACCTTATAGTCCGCTGACACTATTAATCCGGAATGCTTTAGGAGCATCTTCCTAGGCTGTAATTCATTCTTATGTAAGAAACAATGGGTCAAAGTGCTTTTTTCCTGATGTTCTTAAGGTCTTAGGAGATTGGATGAGAGCAGCTACTGCCCACACTGTTCTCAGTGAAGGAAAGCACTCAACAGCTCATTACAGGATTACAAGGCTCTTAAAACTTCACTTACAGGCTTGTAACATCTGAGTGCTCTAAGTTGATGCCTCTGCACTCTCAGCTCTGTGAGGGGATACCTCCTTATCAAGGCCTGAGGGAGCCTTTTTATTCCAAATTTTAAAAAATCATTTTGTCCAGATTTCATTCATTGATCGCCAACGTATATATCTCTCTCCAGCACAAATTAGGATTTAAATGTTTTAAACTGTTAACCCAACCTACATCAAACACACTCAGATGCTTAGGGAGCTCTCGGTACTGCAAATGGTGTTTATAACAAATCCTAATCTCATAACTTCCGCTCTCCTACACATATACTGTAAGTTTCGCACCCGGGTCTTCACTTATATACCTATCACCCAATCCACACTTTTGCTGCAGCTCCCTATCTCTTTCCTCACAAAATTTAGGAGGGGAGTGTGGGCAGGCTCATCCTCACAGATAGGCTGCTATTCCCTCTGCTAGTTGAATCACGCAAAATACTCTCTACATTTGCTCTCTAAATTTCACTTTATAGGCTGTTTCCCAATATGCACACTTGCGGTCTTATTCCCTTCATGTGCGTGTTACTGAAGTCCGAATCGGAAGGGACTTCGCTGAAGGGAATTACCCCTAATTCCTCACAGAATCATGTTCTATAGCGAAGAGATGTTGCCAAGGAGAATAATATATTCAGGTGGCAGTAGATTTAACTTTTTTTCAGTTTTAAAACGTGTAATATTTTTATGTAAAAACAGAATTTCATTGGACTAATTTAGATTGATACTGTATGTATTCTAGGTACAAAGTTTTGACATAAAGCTTTTATTTCATTTCCCCATTTCGACCGACGAATACTCGTTTGCCTGAGGGGTATTTTGTACTAGGAATGACGAAGTATTTAATACTATAAAGCTCTGAGGTATTGCAAAGTTTACCTTATTTCGTTTACTTTAAATTGACGTGAATGAACGCATTATGTTGCTCGTACTGTATTGTCATTTTTATACTGGGACAGACGAGATGAAATGTACTGTCTTTGGTAGTACAAAGCTGTGAATAAACAGCGGTATTGCAAAGTTGTTCCTAGATAACTTCGCCTGTTTTGATTCAAGCCTGCTCAATATGAATGAACAAGACCTGTCACTACTTCTGTGCAGGTTTAGACAAGACCAAATTTAATTTCATCAAACTCCAAGTGGAGAAGGAAATATTATTTTAGAAAAATATCTACAATATCTAAAAAAACATGCACTTAGCCACTGGAAAACAAGCATCAACAACAGGAAAACATTTTTACTCTGAGTTGCGTAACCAACACTTTTATAATGCTACACCCTTGAATGATCATGAACTTTAAATCCCAACTTCAGTGGAGTAGGACTTAGGGTTTTGGGCTACAGCTGGGACAAGACCACTCTCTGCTCTCTATATTTTTTCCCTTTATCGCATTCTTTGGAACCGAACTGAACTACTGAAAAGCAAGACAGACCAAGTGCTTGTAGAAATGCTACTGTACCAGGACAGTGTTAGAGTTGCTAAGCGAAGCCACTAGTCCTGACAACTAGTTACAACTGATAGCCAATCTTCTGACAACAAGTTTCTGTCTGAAACAGAGATGCTTTGATGTGGTTGTTTTTCCTCTCTGTCTCTCTCCGATGGTAGTGTTCTTAGAAATCCCAGTTGTGTGATGGCCTGTCAGATTTTTCTCTCCACCTTTTGTTTGTCTTTGCATGCTTCGTGACTTGTTGCCACTTTACTGTATGTAAACCTTTTCAGTGAGATTTGTTTTCTCTCTACCAAAGGATCTCCTTGAAAACACCAGAGGAGCAGGGATGTCTGATTCAGCAATCAGTGCTGCTAAAGCATACTGCTAAATCTGTGCTTAAACTGCTGAATAAGCACTATAATGTCTTCCTGTCAGAATTTCAGTTGCACCCCCTCATCTCTACACTCATTTAGGTACAACCCCTATGACCCGCAGACAGAATTCATTTAACGAATGTAATGAACTTGGGATAGGGAAGGGGGAGGTTGTGAAACCCCCCAAAAGTTTCACACCCCTGTCCTGACATACACGTGGCCTTTTTGTTTTGTGAAACAGTCTCTGCAGTCCATACAGCTTGAAGTCTTCTCAGTCAGCTCAGGTTTGCTTTCAAAGCCCATTTCTAACATCATGCTTTCAGTCTTGGTTTGTTCTCATCATTTGTGCATTATTAAACATTTCCTAGCCTGTGACCCAGCTCAGAACCTAACAAACCATGTTGCTTTTATTCAAAACCATGCTCCTGAAAGGAACGTCCTTCTAGATGTTCAGGAAAAGGTGGTCAGAATTATGAGAACATTTTGGGTGGGTTTCATGAAAATACAATTAGATAACATCAATAAAACAGGAGACTAGAGACAGCCAATGATACCAGCGCTCACTGGTTTTGGCTACTTATGGTTTTTCCATTGTCTGGGAAACACAGTGTCCTATTCAGGCAGTGCTATATTCTCACTATGCTGCAGTGAATGGATGTGAAGATTGTACATACTTATCTGGATTTAGCACATTTTTAGGCAATACAGAAAAAAACTTTGTGCTTTTAATCACTGAGACAGAAACACATAAGCAAGACCAATAAGCAAAAGCTGCTATAAACTTTGTATATATGATTGCAATAGATTTTCCACTTTCTGGACAAAAAGGTAATCCTGCTTGAATGTCTAGGATTTGTTGAATTAATGCTGTATCGGTTTAGACCAACACTGAAACCTGGTTTAAAAAAGGAGCTTCAGTGCAGATTACTGTATGTTGACTGGACAGCATTTTGTACTGTATGTATGACTGTAAATAAAGAATGTTTTATTTATAAAAGCCAAGACTGTGATGTTCTTTTAGGAAAATGCTGTGCTATAAGAGGCAGGAAAGTGCAAAGCTAATTACACTCTCTCAAAAGGCCTCAACCCTATGTGCCTGCTGCTTGATATACCTAATAATCATATACTGTGGTATATTTGTAAGGTATTTTCAGGTTTCCCATGTAAACTCTAAACTATCCATTCATGATGCTGTGACAAAGGATCCCACAGACAATTTCTCTACTCTCTAGGAATTTCCATTTAATTGGTAGTACTTATTTTACAAAAGCAATGTTTTGAATAACTAAATTCCTCTTTATTTCAGGTTTTCAGATTTTTATTATTCTTCGGAAGTCATTACAAAGTCTTAACATAGGTATAGCAAACTATTGTCAAAATGACAACCACAGAGGAGAGCAGCATGTGGTCACATAGCCTCATGCAGGGCCTGATGCAGACCGTCACTGAGCATTTCTTTTATTTCCACAGTGGATTCAAAGCAGTGCTTGTACTTTCACTTTGTGGAAAACACACCCTGTCCTGGTGAAGCTTTTAGTGTTGCCCACAGAGGCCCAAAACATTGCTAACTATGATTCCTGACACTGGAGAGCTGAATCAGTGTCTGTTGGCTGCAAAGAAACGACATGAAAATGTTGAAAATCCATGCTGAATCCCATGCTGAAATCCCAATCCCATGCTGAAAAGTAGAAAGGAAAAACACAAAAAACGTGTCAATTTGAACTTCTATTTTTTTTTGCATATTTCGGTAAGTGAGTGTACAATAGCTTCCAAGTATAAAGAAACCCTTTCAGGTCTGGTTCAGGTTTCATTGCATATCTGCCATTTGCACACTTTTGTGGTTCCAAATCTCACTTTAAAACCTATGGTGGTGAAGGTATTTGTGGTGCACTAATAGTGAGGGTTAATACACCCGGACTACTGGAGTCTTGAGGATTGTAATCCGCAGATCACCTAGCCTGAGTATTGACATCATTCCTGATGGGAAAAGTCTATTCTTGACTCACTGGTTCCACGTCAATTGGATTTCCATGAGCCAATTTGCTGTACTCCTGCATTAAGTCTGGCTCTTAAGATCATGAGGCTCTAACAGGAATGTTGTCTGATCACAGAGGCAATAGGTCTTGTTATTTCCACAGCCCATTGGCAAGAATTTCTGGGTCATGCCACACAAGTCTTATGGGTAATGGATATTTTTTAAACAATGAGAGTGACAATGGAATGATCCTTCAGGGGAATTATTCAGACTAGGAGTCTAGAACCTAGCATTCCACTTTTATTGTTCGCATTCTTCATTAGCTTACCATCTTGATCAGCCAGACTTCACCACTTTTTTGATTGACAGGAAAAACAAACACCTTTTGCCTTTTTTGAAAACTTGTAGATCAACGTAGGCTGTAGACATTCAGGTCTAGTGTAAAAAAAAATATTTATGGTGAAATATTCACTTGCAACTTAAAACATTAGAAAGGAGTTAATAAAGAGGAGTCCTTTTAGCCTACGTCACTCATTATCTGCAATCACATGATCAGTGCTGGCCAATCAACATAACCTGCTTGTCTTTGAGAGGAAACTAGAGCACCTGCAGAAAACACACACAAACAGGGAAAACATACTGTACACACTCTACAAAGACGGCAACTCAGTCTGGAAGTCTGGAAACTCAAGACCCAAAAGCTGTGAGTCAGGGATGCTAATTACTATGCCATACTAATTTCATCTCCTCCGTCAAGAAGCACAGAGGAGGAAGGCCAGGAGATCCTCTGAGAGATGTGAAGTGAATTACTGTACAATTGGAAGTCTTCTAATTATCTTACCTACAATTATTAGATTTTACATTTTTTTTATCTAGGCCACTGAACATGTACCATCATCAAACAATGGTAATTGACTTCAGTTAATTGACTGTATTTTATGCCATGTCTACAGTCAATGTAAGTTTATGAGTCACAGCTAGATTAAACACATAGATTCTTCCAACAAATAAATTAAACATAAATTGCAGCTGATGTGATATTAACCACAGATCTGGAAATTTATGAAATAGAACCAAATCCCAAATTATTATTGTTTGACATTATTACAGTTATACGTGATTAGGAATGTCTCTAAGAGTTTACATAAAGTGTGCGACTCCTGGCAGTGTAAATGCTTCCAGCATCAAAACAGAGGGGATGTTTGCTGAGAAGTTTACCTTGGTGTAGCTATTTAATTAATTTGTGGGTAGATGATTGTCAGGGAGCAGTCCAGATACACACCATATAAGATTATATTAAGACCACAGAGAGGGAAGAGAGAAGAAGGACAAGAGGCGAGGGAAAGGATAGTAAGGAAGGTCAGACCAGAAAAGAGAGGAGTCAGGAGAAGTTGGAACATGAAGCTTGCACTGGGTGAGAGCCCCTACTTCATGATCACCCAAACAATACCTGATTGGAGCTCAGTATTTGAACCCTGCTAGAGAGTGCTTGCTATTCTGTGTTTTTAGGGAATGTGGGCCTCCTGGGTAAAAGATACCTCAGTTAGAAACATCTTTTTCTGCTTGTAGGTGAATTTTTAGAATAGGGAGATAGGCTCCCATTTATTTTGTGGCATCCGGATTTGCAGAGAAAGAGATTTAACTGAAGGTTGAGTTGCATTTATTAAGAAGGCAGCTTATCTCTTATTGTGGCCTCTGTGGACATTATTTAAGAGTTCAATGTTTAGCAGCCATATCTCCCTGCAACTCCCAACTGGCAACCCACTAAAGCTAGGCAGGTGTGAGCCTGGTCAGTACCTGGATGGAGACCTCCTGGGAAAGCTAATTTGTTGCTGGAAGAGGTGTTAGTGGGGCCAGCAGGGGGTGCTCATCCTGCAGCCTATGTGGGTCCTAATGCCCCAGTATAGTGATGGGGACACTATACTGTAAAAAGGCGCTGACCTTCGGATGAGATGTAAACCCAATCTCCTGACTCTCTGTGGTAATTAAAAATCCCAGGGTGTTTCTCTAAAAGAGTAGGGGTGTAACCCCAGCAAATCTGGCCAAATTTCCCATTGGCCCTTACCAATCATGGCCTCCTAATAATCACCCTCTATGAATTGGCTTCATTTCTCTGTTCTCCTCCCCACTGATACCTGATGTGCAGTGAGCATTCTGGCACACTATGGCTGCCATCGCTTTATCCAGGTGGATGCTGCACATTGGTGGTGGTGGAGGGGAGTCCCCATTACCTGTAAAGCGCTTTGAGTGGAGTGTCCAGAAAACTGCTATATAAGTGTAAGCAATTATAATTATTATTAGTCTGAGGTTTTCTGGGTGATTGGGAAGTAAGGCCTCTGAAATGCCTTGTTTGTACATTTTGTAAATATAGTAACTTGTGTGTATAGATTTACAAGTTACATATACAACATATATTTATGTGTGCATGTTTTGTTGTGTGTAGTGTAGTGTTTGTCTTGTCCTTGATAATAATAAATAAATAATAAACATTTGTTTAAACAAGTGTGTCTGGAATATTATCCTTTTCACCAAAGTTGTGCCAGAGAATAAAGAATTCACATGCCTCTAATTATATTATAATTAACCATTTATAATGCTCGGGTATATTCTGCAGAAATCACTTACAAGTTGGGGGTTATGAATAATTATTGTACTTATTGACTCCAGTCAATTCCTGAAATTCACCATTTTCATAGCTCCCCATTTGTAACTATTGTACTGTATGTTTCACTTTAAGGTAATACTCAGAAAACGTCTAAGTCACAGATCCCACATGTCACATTATACATAACAAACACTTATTGCATAGATTTATATTTGTACTGCTTTTACAATGTCACCTGGCAACTGCACAGGAGAAAAATAAATAAATTAAAGGTGCCACCTATCTCATACACTGCCACTGCCAATCGCTACAACCAAGTCAAATAAGGTTTGAAAAGTGGAAGTAATGAACTCTTAGCTTCTTACTTTCAGAGTTAGTCACAATCCACCCAGGGAAGCAAAACACAAGAGACGATTAGACGTTAAACTCTGACACAACAACTTTGGACAGCAGCTAAATTAAGTCAGTTCAAGCCAACACCATAGACATTTCTGTCGGCTCCTCTGCCCCTCAGACCTGTCTTTCTGAGTTTCCTGATTTGATATAATCTACCTACGATGGACTAGTCACCTGTCCAGGCTCTACCCTACTTTGTGCCCATTGCTTGCCAGGATAGGTTCTGGCTCCTACACAACCCTGAAGAGGTTAGAAAATGGAAGGATGGATGGATTTAATATAAAAATCCAAACTTTTTTTCCAACATTTTAGTTGCGAACACCTTTTCTCCATAGCTTTCCCAGGACATTCTTTTTCCCCATCTTTTCAGGAGCTTAGACTTTGAAATTTCCCAGATTTTCCGAGGATATGTGGGCTAGCTGAGACCGACTGTACACAAGGCAGGACCGAGGTCTGTGACTTAACAAACTGGGAGCCAAGTCGAGGGGTTTAACTATTATGAATCTTTATTTCAGGAAGAGGTGAGAACAGAGCACTTTTTTACAAGATAGACGTTTAAGATTTACAGACAGGAACTGTAGACCAGGCCGTCAATGTGGTCTGAATGTGGTGTGAATTTCAACCACTCTGTTCAGTAGAAAGATCCATCCATTTTCTAACTTCTTCTTCCAGTTCAGGGTAGCAGGGGGGAGCGGAGCCCATCCTGGCTCTGGGCACAAGGCAGCATACACTCCGGACTGGATGCCAGTGCATCGCAGGGTTCCCACAGACACACACAAACTCCCGGCAGATGGCACCCCAGGTCCAGAAGTGAGCAATGCTAACCATTGTACCACGGTCTCATTACACCAACAATGCATCTTGTTGATTAATCACTTAGAAAATGGATATAAGGATGGTTTTGTTTCCCTACTCATTGCAACTGAAACAATTAGCTTTTAAAATAATAAACAAAGATTATGCATTTGAAATATTGTTTGAATGTGAACATTTTATTAAATTTTGTATCCTTACAACACAGAGTCAGAGAAAGGGACCTGTATACACACTGTTTTGTGCCATTTATCAGTGTAATTTATAATATTGTGAACAGCAGGGACAAAGCCTGCTACTGTACATCAGGGCTATATAAGGTAGTTGTATGCATTTCATCAACAACCTTAAGGATCATGCTTCTTTGACAAAGCCAAACCTTGAGCAAAAATGAATAAAAATCAATATTGAACATCTAAAAGCCTTAACAGGTAGCAGGAGAGGATGTATACATAAAATATCAACACTAATTATACAATAATAAAAGCCTAAAATGTACTGTGTACAGCTTTTGAACATCACAGAAAGTATGACACAAGAAAACCTGACAAGAATAAAATCATAATTGCCTCCGCGGCCTCAAAGATGTAACTCAGCTGAGCTTTCTTTGCATAATATAACTGAGTTACAGTTTCACCATCACCTGGTATACGTCACACATAACCAGAAAAGGCACTTTTCATAACTGCAGCTGTGTCAAAGCCAATCACAGGGCAGTGTGGACAAAGGTTTTAAAAAATTTAATTCTTTTGTTTGTTTTAGGACAGGGGTCTCAGACTCAATTCCCGGAAAAAAATTATAGAACAATTCTAAATATGTCTGATATAGAAAAAATAGGTTAATAGTTTAATTTCCTCCTCAGGCTTGAACAAAACCAGAAGACACAAGGCCCTCCAGGATCTGTGTTTAGGACCCCTGCCTTAGGGATTATCTGACATCAATCACCGCCATCAAGTGTAGGCAACCTTGTCAGTTCCAGTGCATTGTCATTGCAACACTGTCATGTTGATCCCATCAGACCTTTAACTGCATAAGATCCGATTGACCCTGCTGCAGCCAATGACATACATACTGTATCTGAAAGATCAACCAGGATAAAGATCTGGAATGGAACAGAAAAATCAAGATTTCTGATGCCTGACTAGTGTTTCTGCAATTCTGCAGCCGGACATCCTTGAGTCACTGCTTGTGTTTTAGCACCCGTCGTTGATAGTTCAGACACAGAATGTTTAAATAGCAGAAGTCGCTTCCTTTAAAAAACTAGTGTTGATCTCAAGTCCTGGAAGGCTAAAATGTATTTGGGTTTTTGTTCCTCCTCTATTATTAAAAACCTAATTGAGCTACAGTACTTATCATCTTAATTGAACCAATTCTGAAGCTTCGAGAACTTCTTCAAGAACTGGATACTTTTCAAAGTACTTCAGCTACTGATGATTTAAGAAGACCTGTAAAACCTGCTGGATGCTGGCTCACCCTGGAGGACTGCCCCTGTGCACTTATGTTCAATAGCAGGAGAGTCCATCCTGATCCTGAAGGGCTGGCCTGGATTTCTGGGTCTTGTTAAAACATTTTTAATTGGTTCAATCAAGCCAATGATGAGCTGATTTAGGTTTCTAAGAGCTGGGTTTGCAATGAAAATCTAAAGATTAACCTAAAGAAAACCTCCAGCCTTCCTAGAGGAGGGTTGGAAAACCCTGTTATCTAAAAAAAAACCTGACAATAGTCTTCATGAGGTCTCACCCAACAGTCAACATCATCAGACTGTTATCAGCTCTAAAGGAATAATTTGAGAACAAAATGCAGGTCCAGTATTGTAGATGTCAAAACACTACTCCTGCAATGGTCAAGTGTTTAGATTTACACTCAACCTTTTGCAACTCCAACGGATATTTTCTGGTTAAACTGGGTGGAGTACCAGAAGCCTCTTTGGTGAACGGTAGAGATCCACCGATCACTGTCAATGTGATAGGTGGAGCCTCAAACTGTGCAGTGCAGTCTGATTCCTTAGTCAGGACAGTCAGGACGGGGTCGCCTGCTCCTCGTCACCCCCTTCGCCCTGGATCATCTCCATGATGTGCGTGAGGTCAAGGCTCTGGGTCAAGACATCGAGCAGCATGTCGTCGTTCTGGACCCCTTCCATGAACTCCTCCAGCGACAGCTCGCCTGAAACAGACACACCTCTCGTTTAAGCCAGCACCTCCCGCTGTTTGCAGGCTCTCCCAGCGATCTCACAAATAATTGTGAGATCGCTGGGATCAACTCTGCAACACTAAAGGGGAATGTGAACATACACACACCTTTTCTAAATAAATCACTAATGCATCCACTGCCTCTGCAGATTCTATGTTCTTGTGTGTTTTTTCACATTCTGATACTTACATTCAGATGACTTTTAAATCTAAAAGTGTTTGTCTTTCTCAAGAGCATCAGACAAAGTACAAGACGGACTCTGATTCCAAGCTCTCTGACCTTTGCAAGCTGTGTAAGAAGGATAGCTTATCCCATCCCTTATCAGAAAGCAGCTTAATTTGGTGAGGGCTGTGATAAACCGGAGACTATTCTGGCAGCCACAGGTGCTGACGGGACTGTGAGCACATGTCCTCTCTCGTACCCAGACCTGATACATGTCCATTGCAGATCCCCAGAGAAAGGGATTGTAAACAAGCACTCAGACCTGGCCAATCAAATCTAAGAGGTGGGATGTTGTTCTCCCAGCACACTGTAAAAAGATGTGTGTCTGATACTCTGATTCGAACCCAAAACCCATCAGTTTGCATTCTAGAGCCCTACTCACTACTCAGTGCAGCTGCCTTGTGTTATCTTACATTTTTTGATTCAACAAGTTACACTCTATTCCCAGTTGCACAGTGTATCTTACCTGTGACACTAGATAAAATGTACGTTTTTATGGAAGACATATAATGCTAAAAATGTGGCCAGCTAAGAAAATCATCTGGAAAGCACCATTCATAATGAGAACAAAAACATCTTAAAATCTGTTGAGACAGATTGTACTGTGCATCAGAAAATATGTTTACAGTTTCCTGGGAACCAATGACATACAGTAAGTTCAAATGATGGTGTATTTTATTAAAACAATGCAAGAGGAAGGTATTGCGATTGTTTCTGCAAACCAATATGCTTTTAGTCCCACATGGAATTTCACATTGTTTCTCTGTGTTCTTACCATCGCCATTGATGTCAATCTTGTCAAACACCATGTTGGTAAAGTCCTCCGCTGTCATTTCATGCTTGCAGCCGTTGATCGCTCTGATCGCCTATGGAAGTGAGAGAAAGGAAAAGAATAACACTCTCAAGGGTTGGAACCCCATCAGAAAAGATTGCGTGGTTTGAACAAGGTGTAATGAGTGCACAGCTGCTAGCTTTCACCCCTAACATTACAATCCTGATTCCTGAAACACAAGTTAAAAGTGAACTGAAGTCAAGGTTAAGTGTAGGACAGCATACTGTAGCATTACGACAGCATAGAGCAGCATGATTCAAATCATGCAGATGGGAAGCCATGGAACAGCAACTTCAATGGAGATTGAGGGCATGGATAAGTGCAAGAGACAACTGCAGTTACTGTGTTCCATATCCATTAATGCTACATGGTGCTGTAATTATTTAATAACCACTGAGACTCTATAAATACAACACAAGCTCATATTTACAGAGGTGTTAACATTAATTCCCTGTTACACTTGAGCTTAAAGGAGCAAATTCTAAACCAGCATTAAACCACACGTACCCTGATGATGTTCAGCAGCTCTCCCCTGTCGATACAGCCATTTCCATCCACATCATAGAGCTTGAAGTACCAGCGCAGCTTCTGCTCCACTTTCCCCTTCAGGACCAGACTCAGTGCGGCGACATACTCCATGAAGTCAATATACCCATCCTGCCAAATACACACACCACAGGTCATAGGTCAAGGCTCAAGGTTCAACACAGGCAGAAATAAATTCAACCAACAAGCCTGCACAACCAAAACCAAATAAGCCACACCTTTCAGCGAATTTGCTTCTTTCTTTTCCTCAAGGACTTAATCTTGATAGAGATATCAAATAAAAAACACTTAAAATAAGATGTATGTTATTTTTAAAGCCCAGACCCTGCTTCCCTTTATCAGTTCCTACTTATTTTAATAATAACTGTAGTCTTTTATTGTGTTTTATTACTGAAAAAGGATGTAGGTACTGTTATTATTAATACCAAAATAATTAATAGCACTGTAATAACATTTCAGCCTTTGTTAATCTACATGTTTGTAGCTTGTATTCTGTTATTAAACTTCAGAAAATTAAAGGGGAAAATGAGCACAATGCAGTACGGATGGTAATGAAAGTAAATTAAAATGAAATAAATGAAATGTTTTGATATAATGATAGACACATGTATCAAACCTCCCAGTTTCCTAATAGTGAAAGAGATGCAGAGATGTGTATTTCACTCATTTGGTTGCTAGGACCTTGTGAATAAAAGAAAACAGAAATCGGACTGTGCCATTTATTATTTTTCTTTTTGTCCACCAAGTGTCATTCCCTCGCCTCTCAGATCCATGTATGCACTGATGCCAGTACCTTTTCTTTTCCTGAGATGTTCAGATATAAACTATGCAACTACACAGGTTTTAATTTCCTGATTCCAGGGAAAACAAAAAGGGATTTTCAGAAAAACATAAAAAACACCAGAGAATAGGACCAGATGTCTGTCTGGTGACCTTAATGTTTCAGTGTGTAATAATAAAAAAATAAAGGAATACCAGAGTGCCTGAGTGACAATGGAAAAAAGAGTCATCTCATTCATAAACCGGATTTCCCTGGTATGCTTTCTGGATTGCGACCCCTGATCTTCCTGATCTTCCTGATCAGGCTCTCATCCCACTCCTGAGCTCTTAATACCAATTTAAACCAAAATAGCCGAGCTCAGACAACGGGATTTAACTGTCAAGGGGAAGGGAGCAGGACCAGTGCTCCTTACTGGCAGATCAGTTCTCTGCAAGGCATGCTTTTCCCTGAGGAACACTGCCTCTGGATTGCGGATGCCTTTAGGATTGTGTTTTCAACCTCAATGTCACTCCTGACATGTCTAGCTGACAGACCTGAAACTGGTATGAAAAAGAAATATCAGAAATGATGGTCAAAGACACAAGGCAGTTAAGTTCACAAGTAATAAAGACTCCCACAGCCAGTCTGTTCAAAATATGACTCTACTTCTTTCTCAACTCTGGTTCTGACGGGATACACTCTGGCTGCTTGTCTAGGGTGGTTCGGCTCAAACTCTCCCAATCGAACTAATAATCATGCATAAGTTCTTATCTTAGGTGACACTTTCACATCACAGGGCCAGTGTTGCCATACTTTGAAGGATGCAAAAGACAGTCCACACAAAATACTATGGAGTGCACAGCTCTTGGTCTGTGTCTACTGTATGTAAATGCATTTTCATTAAAAAGGGCACATAACTCTGTTTTAAAAAAAGTCTAGTTAAGGAAACAGAAAATTGTTTTACAGAAATCAGCCCCCCATCTTACACATCTTGGCCTCCTGAGATCCAGTAGTACCACAGAATCCATAGACTTCAATTTATGGATTCAGTCACTGGATACAAGTGGATACAACCCAAAGGAGTGAACATAAATCATATATACTGTAACGCTTACGGCCGACAGGCACTGTGCAAGAGCCGGCGTACCAGAGCAGGTGACGTCACCGCCCTTCCCTGTGATAGCAGGACTACAGCTACTGGGCTGTGGAGAGATCTCTCTTTAGCTCACGGGGCTGGGTCACTGCAGAGTGACGCGGGAGTCCCGGGTTCGAGCCCCTGACGGTGGGGGGCCGACCTAATGCGGCAAGGGCGCCCACCTGAGCCCCCGTTGTGTTACAATACTATATGCATGTAAAGTTAATGAACAGAAAACAACAGAAGTTAAGTCTGATAAAGTCATTCTTTTAACCATTTTTGGAAAGTTTTTCAAAGTGGTTGAAGGCAGATTAGGTCTTTGATAACCCACAATAAATTCTAGTTATGTTTGCCCTCAAGGGTTTAAGAAAATCCCTAAGGATTTACTGTATATAAAATATTACTGATTAATTATTACTACTAAATAGTCATTATTATGTACTAATTATATGATATATCATGATATATTATTTTAAAACCAAGGCCTGCTTACCACAAGCATTTCTAAGCAATCATACAGTACATAGGGTTTAAGAATACAGAAAGCCATTAGATACAGTACAAGACTTGCATTGACCTTTTCTATCAAGATACCTGTATAATTTGAAGTTTCTTTGGAGAAGCGCTTGATTATCCATAGACAGGCACTATACACAACATTCTCCGAGTGTAAGGATAGAAACACGAGAAATCTAATGAGACTGGACCAGGGCGGACTGTTCTTAAAGTTTCCTTCTGTGAAAAACAGAAGCCCGCTGAACTTGTTACAATGACTTTGGACTGAGCTGTACTTGAGGGATTAAGGGTACGTCGATCAATTTAGCACTTGAACTACAATTTTTTAAGCATTACATCTGAACAACCTAAGCAGCAATTTTAACTAAATATGAGTGTAACCTTCTGATCACAAGAGGGCGATAACCATCGTGCTAATACAAAGGTCTAGTTCACTACTGGAAAACTGTACCACCACTGGTATCTTCACAATCGATATTAATAATGCGCTACACTACAGTGATCTATCGCTGTATCTATTACGCACCGAGAACTGCGTTTTTTTTATCGAGTCCAATTGCACAACACCAAACGGTTATCATGCTGACACTCTAAAACAGCCGAAATACCAGTAAGCCGGGGTGTGTAAAGAATTTTTCAACGCTTTTGTAAGACTGCATTTTTTCCAGACTTAAAAGGAGACAGAAAGTGATGACTATCTCATAGTATTAGTAATAGCATTTTTTGTCATTAGTGCTTTCTTTAATAAACGTTTACATTACATCACCTACACTTACAAACGTAGCGTCCCTGCAGCCGCTTTTTCTTCTAAGACAAACTGGCGCAGAGAATTCTCAAGCTCCCAGCTGCGCTCCGAACGCTTTCGTTAGCTGCTAAAACTACAATGATTGGGTTAGCTTCTCATCTAACAACGTTGCGGGGTCTGTCTTACAGGTATCAGGACATACAGTATGTACTGCTGAAAGAATAATAACAAAAAGTTCCTTACGCCATTCATATCGAACGTGTCAAACATTTGTTCAACGTAGGCATTGGAAGAGGCAGAGAGATTCTTCAATCCGAAGAACTGCTTGAATTCGTAAAGCGTCAGCTGTCCGGAAGGGCACTCGATCATGAACTTCTTGTACCACTGGTGTATCTCACAGGCGGTCAGCTCCTCTACCGATGTGCCGCTGTTTGCATTCCCCATAGCCTTGTCTCGTGGTCTTACAGCGCAGGACGGCGAAACGTTTAGACGTCAATACAAAATCAGTCAAATTAAGACTCTACACCCAAATCCGTCGTTATATTCTCCAGCTCACTCCCCTCTCAAAACCACCAGTATTTGGTCTTGAGGTATTACTAAATGTCTAAATGTGTAACAATAGGTTATTGTTAAGGTGCTTTGTCTCAGCACTGTGTCTGTACCACTGCAGTCGGTTCTGTGTTCTTCAGAGCACTTTGAGCTAAGACGCGCTGCCAGAAAGATGCAAAGCAATTAAGAAGGATTTAGAAGTTCTCTTATTCTCCCATGACCAATCAAAGGCCTGTGCGACTACTGAACTATCTTTAGCAATAAACTGGGCAAAATCGGAAACTTGGCCGCGATTAGCAAGGGACAACCAACCACGGATTTACACACTGATTAATCCTCAAATCCAGTCACAGGCTTTCTAACGCAGTTTTGTTTTTAAATGAGGGTAAACCGTCATTACAGGTAGATGCAGCGCTTAATGGAAAGAAAGACTCTCTTGTTCTCTAACAAAGAAAGCAAAGCATATGTTGAGAAATGGAGAACATGAAGAAATCGGCACTCCACAGTAACAATAAAAATAAGTGTAATGCATTCAAATTAAAGTACAAAATGGAAGCATCCCTGATTTATATTCTGGGCTCAGCACAGTGGTAGAGTGGTATTTTGGGTTTCGTTTTTCGTGATTTACCTTAGGCTCCATGTGAGTCACTCTCACCAGGAATACGCAGCTTCCTGGTGATGGATAACGGATGGATGTCAGGTGAATCTGAAACCATATTACTTCTCAGGCCACTTATTTGCCCTGGAGCTTCTTGTACTCCATTGACGTGAGCATCTCTAAGATCATGAGAGCAACCGGTGTGTGTGGAACACTGCTGCACATTTTTTATGAATCAGTGGTGGCAGCGGCCATCTTCTACGCTGTTGTGTGCCTGGGGCAGCAGCATCATGGCAAGAGATGTAAATAGACTCAATAATCTCCTCAAGAAGGCTGGCTCTGTGTTGGGGCTGAGCCTTGACCCCCTGGAGGTGGTGGCTGAGAGGAGAATGCTGACCAAGCTCACAGTCATCATTAACAACACCTCTCATCCACTACATGGGACTGTTACTAGACAGCGGAGCACTTTTAGTAACAGACTGCTCCAGCTACGGTGTTCAAGGGAACGTTTCCGCAGGTCCTTCCTCCCAGCGGCTGTCAGGGTGTGTAACACTGCCCTAGGCTAGGCCTGTTATCTCTTTTGGTCATCTATGGACAGCATGTTGCACTCATGTACATTTGGACATTGCATTCATATATTGTTCTTACTGTGGTATTTTCAATTTGTACATACCTACTGTATGTGCTTTTTGCACATCTTTTATTGTTTTACAGTGACTATTAGCATATTTCGCACACATCTATTTTGCTAACTATTTAATTTAGTATTCTATATACTTATTTTATCACTCTAATGTTGTAGTTTATTTTTAATTTTAGCCTTTCTCGATGTCTGTCTTGTCTTTCTTGTGCTGGGCTGCTGTAACGCCTCACTTTCCCTTCAGGATTAATAAAGTCTTACCTTATCTCATCTAACAGAAAGATACCAACGCAGCAAAATGTCTGTTGGCCACATCCTGCGCTAAATCCATCTCTGCGTTTTCTTACCACCTCTTCCAATTCAGGAGCCGGAGCCTCTCCTGCCAAGCAGCTGGCACAAGGGAGGACACATCCTGGACACGACACCAGCCCATCACAGGCACAAACATGCACACACTCGCAACTAGGGCCAATCTTCCCAGAAGCCCATTTACCTAGCAGTATGTTTTTGGATTCTGGGAGGAAACCATAAAAAAACACAGGAAGAAAATACAACCTCCACAGAGGTAGCACCCCAGGAATACACAGGGGCCGGTTCACTCATCCCTGGGCAACCTTCCCTCTCCACACCCTAGAACAGTCCAGGTCCAATTCTATGTCATAACTTAAGCGAGTCCCTGTTAGCATCGTGTGTATTGCCGTGGTGCCCCTCCAGAGCAAATCAATTCAATAAGCTGTGATAAAATAAAACAGCACAGAATATTCAAAATATTTGGCGACAGGAACCTATGCAAAATGTGTTTGTTGTAGCAGGAGTCTCAATTTATTCTTGTTCAATGTTTCTGGGCGGAATCCCTGTGCGCCTCTTCTTGTGATCAGTATCCCAGGAGAAGCGGTAGCCACAGGTAGATTTACAAGCAGTAAAGAAGGGAGTGAGGGAATTGGAGGTGACCGGAGTCCAGCGGGAGGTGCTCTCTCTCCTTGGGGGTGTTCGGCACTCCCTGTGCTCTGGTCTGGGGTTCGCAGGGGGAGTGGGGGTGAGATAACGCCTATCCAAGACCGTAGCCTTTCCTGAGTCACTCCTCTGCCTCCTGGCCCAGGAGAAAATGAGAAGGTCTATCTGTTTGTCCACCACCTTGTTCCTGCTGGCGTTGACCGGGGCGATTGTTTTCACTGGGTTCCTCCACACCTGAGGACAAAAGAGAAGCTGCACTAAGTTGTTACAGCTTCACCAGCTACACTTGTTCAATACTCATCAACAATAAAAGTTGCAAAAACGCAGGCAGGGATCAATCTGTGGTTTGCCTATACATACTGTACAATAGCTTGCTGTATTTACCTTGCTGTTTTAACACCCTTTTTACTCCCTTCTCGGTTTAGCAAACTGCAACAGAATCTTTAAAGTGTGTCTGTGCATGTTAGTGAACTAGCATGCTACACAGAATGTCTTAGACATTTTGCTCCTCTCTTTTTACTGGTTTTTCCTTCTTTATGGGGAAACAGTTCTATTGTGAAGGAACAAGTAAATGCTTAACCCATGCTGAAAAGAAAAGAAAGGAAACATTTGGTAGCACAACTACGGAAGCTTATTAGTGCCACGGAAAAAAAAAATAATTCTTTTATATGAGATAGTATCTCGTTTATACGAGAAACGTATTGCATTTATACGATAAAAATCTATCGTTTATATGATTATGTTTTCCGTTTAAACACAATAGTTAATTTAACGTAGGTTTGGAAAGCCATGTGATGTAGACTTGTCATAGAAACGGCGAAAACAGTGCATGTTTAACCTGGGAATGCTCACTGACATGGTGTTGTACTTCATGTATACAAAAAAAAAAACAGAACAGGCGCTTCTTTTTTTCCCCAAAAGAGGAGTGTGAGGATTCTACTGCAGTTAAAGTCAATGCTACCATGTACGGAACAATATTATTGCATATACAGTACAATGCAATATACAGTATTAATATACAGTAGTAGGCAACATTGTTCACAAATTGAAAAACTGAGTTTAAACTGAATAATTTTCTCGTATAAACGAAATACTTTTTTGTATAAACGCAATAATTTTCTTATATAAATGAGATACTCTTCTCATATAAACGAGACTCTATCTCGTATAAACGAGTTCATGTTTTTTTATCCGTGGTGCTAATAAACTTCCGTACACAACACTAGTTTGCCTTGATTTACTGTGATCGAAATTCTACAGATACTTGACAAAGATTAAAGATTATTAAATGACAAACTTGGTTTCTTAAACTATTGATAACCATCAGAGTTGTTAAAATGTTAATGGTGACTTACAGTAAATTAATCATGTTCATAATTATCATATTTTAACTCCTGGCTATGATTAAGATACTGTATCTCAAGCTTTTGCACAATAGTGTATCTGATCAGCTGTATCAATCATTCGTGATCCTGGCCCTGTAGTAATCTACCCCAGTGTCTACTGCTTTTTGTTCCAACTGGGCTCTTAATTACCCGTGCTAATTTATTTCTATCCGAAACATTTTTGGAATTGTTCTCTCAGCTGTTAAAAAGCTGAATTGGATTTGTGATCAGTATGAACCCTGTGCCTTGTGGTGAGTTCCAGGGCTGCCCTCCTTCAGGTGTACTGTAATAGCTGAAATATAACCCACTGGAAGGATGAGCTCTGACTTCACTGTGGGAGTGTGTGATACAGGGTCAATCCCCCCTGTGTCTGCTCATTATTCGTCAATCACCTATTGAGAGCTGTTTAGTCAGAAATTAGGGTTTTAATTCAAAAAGTGTTTAAGAGTTACAGCATAAGATTGTCTGTGCAGACATTGTTGGAAATAACATACATTAGGCCTGATTGTTGCCACAATGTCCTGCAAGATAAAGACATGAAGCACATGGAGGTGAAAAGGTGCTTTACATAACTTTTGACTTCAGAGAGAGCAATTTAATCTTTGGCATTCGGCATACAGTATGTCTCGGTCACAGCAGTTTAATGGGAGATGTCTTTCAACCTAAATCCCTTTCCAGTGAATCCTTTATTCCTGGGAAAACATCACCTTATATTAACCTTAAATGCCTGTGTGGCTCTCCTCTAATCCTCTTGTTAAAAACATTATGATGTCATACCTGGCTGTTCCTCATTGTAGCTCCGCCTCTTGTCATCAGCATTATGGTGATCTAAGCAATGGGGAAAGACCCCCTCCTCCCCTTTTGAACTTAACGACTTATACGCTTAAAGGTCTTTCTCACTTCAGAAACAAATCTCTCTTGCTCTGTCCCTCTGTGCTCCAGCCTCTCTCTCCTACAGTGCTTGGGACATCACGTACTTAGTGACATCACAAAGAGACATGACATCGCACTGTATGACATAATCCATTTTCCACCCCAGCTGCACTGACAGCAAGGACCCTCTGTACTTTAAAAGCAGCCTATTTAAAAGGCAGCTAGCTTATCAGAAAATACCAAATTAAAAAGCATAAAAAGATGCATTTTGGTGATCACTTTCCTCTTAAACCACTCTAATATATATTAAAGCTATATATTTAAAAGTACTGGATATCACCCCATATGCACTAAGCACAATGCTGCTTTACATAAGAGAAGTCTTGTTATCTTTCCATTGATTCTCACTGTATATCTTACACACTGAATTGAAACTGTCTAACCTGATTCTCAGACCTGACAAGACAAATGTCTAACTTCTTCATTCTCTGCAGTCTGTCCCTTCACGTTCAGTTACGTTCATGCTCACATCTAATAAAATTAGAGATATAAAACTGGCTTTTGTATTCAAGACTTTATTTTATTGGCTTTAATGAGTTATTGTTTGACTGACAATGTGGAGTGGCAAAGAAAGAGTAATCTGTCAATTAATGTATAAATAAGAAAAGAAAATGAGCAAGCATCTGAACTTGCTGAGAATAAGTAAAATACACATCCTCATGCCTTTTATCACACTATTGTGCCACAATCTGCAAAAAGACCTGACTTTTTGCCATTAAAAACTTTCAGAATTGGGAGCTATACATGCCACAGCTGCTTGTCCTGCAAAAAACAAAAAGGAGTGAGTCTTAGTTTTGTTGCACACCTGTTTTCAACTTGGGGAAATCTACAGACATCTGGAGTAGAATCAAAACAGGCAGAAAATTTTCTAATTGCCAATATTACTTAAAATACCACCATATGTCTATAGAAAGTCAATGAAACTGATTTCAGATTTATTCATCTGGTGGTCGGTTTGTTAAAATAGTGTCCCAGGAATAGCAAAAGCCTAATATCTTGATCCTGTTTGAAAGAAAATATCTCTAAACCCACTTCTGTTTGAATATCTTACAGATAAATTAAATAAATAGCATTGCATTCATAGGGCTTTTTGTATTTGGCTTTTCAAATAACACAATACAGGGATCATGATAAGCAGGAGATACCATATTTTATCCCATATTGTCATTGCCAAATATTAGTGAATTAGAATTCACTTCTCACTAATAACTGGAGTGCAAATACTGTTTTTTTTATTTTTTTAAGGCCTACCATTTCCATTTTCTTCATGTTCTATCTTGTTGCATCTGCAAATGAGAAGGGCTGTAACTAAACCAATCAAACATATTCAGCACAAGCTGAACACACAATCAAACACATATTCAGCACATATTCAGCCAAACTTCTGAAAAAGACTACCTTTACACAAAACAAAAAGACCAAGCAAAAACAAAAACAAAAACCAATGTGAACAGAGTAATCTGATCATCTTTTCGTAGTTGACTTTTTACTCTCAGTTTAAGAAGCAGTACAAAATCATTAATTCATTGCAGCACCATGACCAACTCAAAGACGTTCAGACAATATATTTTCTCACATTGCACAGCTGAATGTGTTAATTTAAATGAGTCTACACAGGCTTTACACAGCTTTTCAAACATGAAAATGGTTTGGGGAAAAGATTCCTGAGAAGCAAAAGCAAAATGCGTCAGGATGTACAGTATTGCTTCTTTCAAAAACAGTAGGTAACAAATTGATCCTAAGTAAACACAGACTGGAGCTGGCAGTGATACATGACCTCGCCCAGACAAAGACTTCCTCTTTGGAGGAACAATCATGTGTGCACAGGCGCTAAAACAAAAACGCATTTAAACAAGGAAACAGGCAAGGAGTGAAGAGATTGCAGCATAACGGCCTTCTGAAGGAACACCTCCAGGGTGCAGCAGCTCAGTGGAGTGAGTAAATACTTCCACCCTTGCTTCAAATCCAAAATGAAGAGCTTCCGGACAGAGGTGAAAAGAACGTAGAAACCTCAACCACAATACAGACAGCCTCAAAATAGACTCATCACTGTTTTATGCACATTAAAGTATGTGTATTTTGGGTATTGATTAAATGCTTAAATAAATGAGTGTTGATGATTGAATGTGATTCTGTAATGAACTGATTCAGTGTTCATGCTACAACCTAAGTCACTTGAGTGTGTTTGTGTTTGTTGATCTATGTGTAAAAAATCAATAAAAATGGAGATTACAAACATTCTACATACAATGTACTACTTCTACTACCTTGTACTACTTCTAATGGTGAACACAGATGCAACTAACCTGCAGCCTTCCCAGTTGATCCTCTGCCAATCAAACAAATGTCAGTGCACCTTCTGCAGAAAGATTGTTATTTGTCTGTTTTGAATTCTTTGTAAATGCTTTCTTTTGATTCTCAGTATACTATTAATTAGCAATTATAATAAATCTCTTCAAAGTGAATAACTAAAAAGGAAATAATGATTTTGCCAAAATACAGCAAGTTTTGAGATATATAATTTCACTGTTTGTTTTTTGAACAACCACAACAATTTCTACAATGCAGCCAATGTAACCTGGGAGTCCTGTGTGAGGTGTACATTCTAGACATGCTTCTTACTGCAGTTTGAAGAACAGGAACAGTAGGTCTGAATTCCATCTCCAAGGAGACAAGGGAGGGCTTTGTTTTTTTTTCTCTTCACAAATCAAGAAAAAAAGAGAATGCCTGTCATTCTTTCGTTATGTCAGCACAAAGGGAGGGGTATTGCTGATCTAGTCTGAAGGCGAGAGAGTCATGATACTGTATGAGATTGCTGGTGCTTCAGGTACATCTAGAAAGCCAGAAGGAGAACAGAGTAACCTCCATAATATTGGAATTACTGTTAAGTAAGACTGAGAAGTTGGTCATTATGATGGACTATAGCCCAGTCCCAACAGAGCCTTTAGGAACCTAGTAACACCATGTAAAACTGAATTCAGTACTACTAGTTTTGGTGGCAATATTAAACTGTGGTTGTTTACTGATTATGGTTCATTACTAGAAATCAAACATACTGTAGTCCTGAGGTAAAATGGTAGCAGCCTTGTGGTTTATAAGGCTGAACCTTCTTCTTGGTTATGTTTTTCAAGAATTCGAAAACGCAAGTCATTACTTGCCAACTTTTCTGGTTTGGCCCTGCTTTTCTTTTAGGGCAGATTTCAGTGACAAATGCCAGATTGCTGGCTACATGTGTCAAGAAGAAGAAAATAAAGTGACGGAGTGACAGACAGGTCATTCTTTACAGCTCTCGCATTACATTATCCCAGAAGCCATTAAGGGAATGGAAAACTTCCCTGCTCTTGTGTGTCAGTGAACTATGGAAAAAAGCACCTATTTATCCCAAAAGCTAATCCTTAAGAACACGGACGACATAGGCCATTACTGCTGTCTGCTTTCTATATCCTCTGAAAGTAGGATTGAAGTGTATAAGAAGCCGATAAGCTGCTCTATTATAAGCTCTTCCTCTTTTGTCGCCCACTCTCCTTCTTTTCCTCCTTCTATCTAATTTGTCCTCCTCATTCCTTACTGTCTTTGTGCCCTTTTGACCTTAGCAAATGCCATTTAATTTAATCATTTCATCCTTCTGCTCTTTTTCATCTTTGTCAGCCTGTGTCATTCCATTGATTTGACAGCTCTCCCCTGGCATTAAGCTCTGCCAAATGTGCTCTGATGCCTACAGTATGTCCAGCTAGTGCAAAGGTGTGCACAGACACGGTTTGAATTGGACTGCACCATTCTAGAAATAAATAATTGCTCAACTATGAATATTATGTTACATGAACATATATATATATTTTACCATTGGAATTCTAGCTCCAAACAAAAGCTGTTGCCGACGTTTTTATACATCATATAACTGTTAAAGGCCTATGTGAAAAGTCTGCCCACATGCAATCCTAATTTAACAGGACCATACAGTGCTTGCACTACTGCAGTGATATGAGAGAAGGGCCCGAGGCCTAAAAGGCTAACCACCCGAACCTGGATAAGTCCTTATTTTTAGAAGTAGTTTGAATTAGTTTCTTTAAAAAAGATAAGAAGGTGTGATATTGCCATAATTAGTAACCTATAAACTCATATGGCAGCTGACTGAGTGTAGTAGTCTCAACACAATTTCTGTTCTGCAGTTTTTGAACTATTTCCTACTGGGACTGATCTACGATAGCTATTTGAATACATAGTAGTGAATAATATCACAACAAATATAAGCCGTTCCATTTTTCACACTTTATTCCTTTCTTTTTTTACTTTTAAGTGCTGTTCCTTAATTATTCTGGACAATTTGGCATTTCACTGTTGAATTTTTAGAGAACATAAGCAAGTTATTTACAAAAATACTGCTTTAATAAAAATTGAAATGTCTCAGAAGAATTGTGTTCCCCTACTAGGTCCCTTTAAATGTTTCCCCATAGTAGAGGTTAAATGGCAACTGCAGCTCGTTCTCAGACCGGATGGGGCAAGGCAGAAGGGGTGTCCAGCAATGATACTGGAATGCCGTCGTGTCTGTAAATTTTCTATATCTCGATCACCTTAGCAGCTGAGGGAGAAAGCAGCTGGTTTAGTTTGTTAAAAGTTGGACTGAAAACTTGCATACTCACCAGCCCCTTCAGGATCAGGACTGGTGACCCCTAGTACAAGGCCACAGCTTATAAATTACAAGTCCAAGGACCTCACAGATCCTGGTTTTCAATCCAGCTCAGTGCTCGGTTGTTTAAGCATGTTATTAGTTCAATGAAGTGGTTAACTCTTTCAAGGTTCCCATCTACTCAATTGGAGACTAAGTGACTTAAAAATATAATAGTAGGAAACCTTTCACACATATGAGAGCTGTGAATTATAATTCCCTTATCAGTTCAATTAAAGATTCACATCCATTATGAAAAGCAGCAGATGTGAGGGTTTAAAGACTGAAATTGGGAGCCCCTGTTCTGTACAGTATTGAGGGGAACAGAGCTAAGCATGATTTGACTGGAATCTTTAAAGTCTGCTGTGGTTTGGGAGAGGAATGCATCCCTGGCAATGCTCTGGTGTGAAGTGGGAATGAAGAACAAAGTTAATGTGCTCCTCTAGACAATAGGCATCAGTCAGGAATTCAGCTCTCAGTGACCTCTAGTGCATACTTATTTCTATCTAGTGATCCACAGCCCAGGCCTCTCATGTTTCACCAGATTGCACTTTCAGTTCTTTTTTTACCAAAAAGGAAACCTGACTCTGGCCCCTGCCAAGTGGCACAATGATTTTAGACAACTGTTTAAATTCAACAACCGGCACTCACTTCTCACATAACTGGATGGACAATAGGAGGCTTGTGTAGAACTGCAAAGACCGCGTCTTCACCTGAAACATGGCAAAGCACCTGGAATCCCCAGCATGGGTGCCACAGAATTATATCTTTGATGTCCCATCAGGAATGTCAAAAACCTATTCCTGGAGGGCCCAGTGCCAGCTGGTTTCTGTTCTTTATGAGCCTTCAGTTGGTCTGATTATGTAATTAACTGCTTAACTAATATGTCTAACCAGACGCTGAGGCTGTTGGGTTTTATGGATACAGTTTGTACCTTTAATGGAGTGAATATTTTGTGTAATCAATTGCAAAAGAGCTTCAGAAATCCACTAGTTAAGCTAATGTTTCCTATGAAAATAACTGGGTTAATTGTTTCATAGATTACTAGGGTTAGAACAAAAAACAGGGGCGAGGCCTCCAGGAACTGAAATTGACACTCCTGGTCTAAATGGTCATTTCATAGGTTGCTTGGAGCAACTACACATGACAAAGGATATCTTGTTCTCATACATAGCTTCAAGGAGATTCTCCCAGTTTCTTATTTGTTATTTGGGAGGGTGAGGGAAGCATGCCTAGTTAATAAAATTCCACATTGGTTACAATGGCATTCCAGTGTGACTTGCAAAACATACAAAAAGGGATGTTACTTTTAAACATGCATTTCACCTACCATAATAAACATCATATAATCTGCTGCTTTGAACACTGTTGAACCCACCATCGAAAGTATTCTACAACCTAAGTTTAAAAAAGAGGAATTCAAGCAAACACACAACATCAACATGGATCAGTGTAAGAAAAGGGAAGAAGCATATTAATCTTTCAATTATTTCATGTCAAACCTTCAGTGCTAAATGCAACATATCATCTTGGGGTGATCCTAAGATTCAAACAATGAAATACTGTATATGGAGGATGTTGTTTCTGCTTCAAAATGATGCTCACCTCCAGTCTCCTTTATGTGAGCGCACATTCATTGCCTGCGATTCTTTGTGGGTCTGTCGTCATGCTTTCTGGAAAGCAGCGGTTAATTATGTGTGCCAATTAAACCAATCATTCTGGTAACTACTAAGTGTATATTGTAAGACGTGGAGTAAGGTAGAAACTGAAAACAACCAAGGAGCATCCAAAATGTGTATACATTTTAATCATAACTAATGCAGGAAAAACCCAGAACTGAAAGGGGAATTGGCAAGCCGCATTAGAAGCAGATTATTCCCCTGCATTGCTTTGTGGACTGCTGTCAGCAGCGTGCTTCAGAAACCTGAAGTGGTGCTAAAACCTATGGTAACATCACACAAAATATAACTGAACAAAGAACAATGGGGTCTTGTAGTGCACGAGGCTATGTCCAGGCTTGTTTCCTATTTTAGATAATGCAAGGCCAAAATGACATCATGCCATTTAATCAAAAACCATTTCAAGCACATTAGACTTCATCTGAGGCATGTGCGCCTCATCCTCTATCAGATATCAAATATTGCTGCCAAATGGCTGCACGCCTGGGAGGCAGGGTGGTGTTGTTGTTACAAGTGCTGCCTTGCAGTCCTGGGGTGCTGGGTTCAAGTCCTGGGGTGCAGTTTGTCAAATCTGTCTGGAGTTTGTATGCTCTCCCTGTGTCTGTGTGGGTTTTCTCCCACAGTCCAAAAACATATTGGTTGGTTAATTGGCTTCTGAGAAAACTGGCCCTGGCATGAGTGTGTGTGTGCTGGTGTCTGTGTGCCTCATGATAGCCTGGCATCCCATCCAGGGCGTGCCCCTCCTTGCACTGTAGCTCCCTGCCACCATGAAGTGGTTAAAAGAAGGCTTTTAAAAGACATCAGTGGACATCATGGTTTCTGAAAGCTACAGAGGTTGCACACTGGACACTTCTCTGTTCCTGCTTATATATACGGAGGCTATAATCATAATTGCTTACACTTATATAGCACTTTTCTGGAGGCACCACTCAAATCGCTTTACAGGTAATGGGGATCCCCTCTACCACCACCAATGTGCAGTCCCACCTGGATGATGCGACGGCAGCCATAGTGCGCCAGAACACTCACCACACATCAGCTATCAGTGGGGAGGAGAGCAGAGTAATGAAGCCAATTCATAGATGGAGATTATTAGGAGGCCATGATTGGTAAGGGCCAATGGGAAATTTTTGCCAGGACGTCGGGGTTACACCCCTACTCTTTTCAAGAAACGCCCTGGGATTTTTAATGACCACAGAAAGTCAGGACCTCGGTTTAATGTCTCATCCAAAGGACGGCGCCTATTTACAGTATAGTGCCCCTATACTGGGGCATTAGGACCCAGATGGACCGCAGGGTGAGCGCCCCCTGCTGGCCCCACTAACACCTCTTCCAGTAGCAACCTTAGTTTTTCCCAGGAAGTCTCCCATCCAGGTTCTGACCAGGCTCACACCTGCTTAGCTTCAGTGGGTTGCCAGTTGTGAGTTCCAGGGTGATATGGCATAAGAGAAATGAAGCCAAGCAAGTGCCGAAGCCCAAATCAGAATGATATGCCCAGCAGACACACAGGTGTCAACCACAGCTCTCTTTTCCAAATTTTACACAGCTCTTTAACTCCATTGTGTAAAATGGTAAATGTGCCATCTGGACTGTCTTGAAAATGCCCACAAACTGTAATTCTTCACTACTAGTGCCTGTATTGATCACTTTTCCACAAAGGTTCTAAGCAGAGTATTTGATTATTTTTCAAATCTGAAAAATTGGAATAATTCATAATTCTCAGAGGAATAGACTGAAATTACTTTTTACCTTTCATTATTGATGTTTTGATCTTAAATGTCCTGTATTAGTTTGCAGTAGAATTGTGGTATGGTGCTAAAACTATTTTAAAAGCACTATACTGGCTTGTGACAGCAATAAATTAAGGATGCAAAGGGGCTTGTTTGTAAAACATTCATACAAGAAAAATGTGCTCTCAGCCGCGCATTGCACTAAAACTTCTCGTGACGTATTATATCACTCAACTCAGGAAAGGACAGCACAAAAAATAAAGATAACAAAGACTTTACGTGATTGGTATCTTGTGAGCAAGGTCTGGAGTTAGCAATGATTTAGTTTTCGGGAAGGAATGTTGCCACGGCTGTGGTTACCACGGTAACTGCAACAGGGTGTGTGTGCAGTCAGTGACAGGGCCTGCCAGACCCCTTAAGGTGTGTGCCTCTGTTTTGTTTACCTCACCTGTCTGAAAGGGAGGAAAAGGAGGTGGAGGCCATTTTGCCCTTCTTGGTTCCCAGGGCGAATGGGCGGAAGAAAGAAACAGAATTAATAAATCAGTGAGGAGCAGCGAGAGAACACACCTGCTGAGCTCATTCCCTGAGCTCCAAGGATTATCGCAGGACAGGTGATCCTTTCCGACTTAAAACACCTGTCGGAAATGCATCGTGTTTGACATCCTCGCAAGCGAAACGTATCAGTGACAGAAAAAAAAATGAAAAGAGGGACTTTAAACTCGATTTGGGGGCGGAAGAATAATAATCTCTTCGGCACCCATGTTGAAATTAAGGAAAGGGGTAAGTATTACGATTTAATGATGCCTGTCTTATGTGCAGTCAAAGTACTTGCTTTCCATGTCTTTGACACTGTGATAAAAAAAAAACATTACGTGTCCATAGTTCGCTGATGATAGAAATGTCATGTAATTTTACAGTTCAGGGGTCAAAATCTGAACTGCAGAACGTGTTGAAACTCATATTGTATCAAGATATCTTTAGCAAGGTTTATAAAGTGAAGTATTCTTTCATGTAGACAAGCCAATCATGAACGTAAAAGCTCTCGGTAATTAACAGCCGTAGTTAATGTAAACCTGACCCTGTAGTTTTTGATGAAAATACGTGTGTATAATCTTCACAGTAACGTCTTTTTCTCTTCTGTAACTCTTCCCTAGAAGTTTAATGTGTTTCGTTTTAAATATGAATTATGTTTGCACGAAGATTAGTATTTTTCTTCACAATATATACCAATTAAGAGTGACTTCTATGTTTTTTCAAATCAAATATCTCTCGTATTTAAGGTGGAGGATGCTGCTCTTCTAAATTTTATATTGTTCTAGGTGAGATTTTTGCTTCCGTTCTGGTGGATCAAACTTGATTTGAATTTGGGTTTTACCTACTACTGCCACCACATAGTTTTAAGACCATGTGACAACCTCTTGTAGACCATGGGATGCGCACCATGCGGTTTTAAAGGATTTAGAACTATAAAACTGTCCTGATTATTCTTGTACTTGCATGGACAAAAAAACAGGATTAAGTTATTACTTGAACATTTATTTTGCAAGGGTGTGGGCTGTATTGTACCATTTCTACAGAAAATCAAGTGCACAGACATTGCCTTAGACTTTATTGCAGTTAAGTGCAGTACTGTAAATGTATTTTTCAGTAGATGTGTTCCCTAATCCCATGTAACATTCTTCTGCACAGTATTTCTGATTAAAAGTTTTAAACTCTAGCCTATTGCATAAAGATAGTGGTAGAAAAATGTAAACATCAATGTACATTCATTTAATAGGGTGTTGAGCCACCACAGGTACAGCATGTATGCACTGTGACAGAGGACAGAGCCTTCCAGCATATGGAATTCTGCAAAAGGAATGGTGAACCATTCTTTTACGAGAGTCAATCATCTCACACCTGGTTGATGGAGGTGGAAAATGCCATCTTGAGCATTGTTTCAGAATATCCATACATATGCAATTGGATTCAGATCTGGTGACTGATGGACGATTAATCTGACCAGATCACATTTCTCCAGTGCTCAGTAGTCCATTACCTGTGCTGTTTGCACCACTGACACAAACATGCATTGAGATGTTTGATGAGCAGTTTATAAGCCACAACCAGTATCCTGCTCTTGCACATTGTCTGTAAGAAACTGGCTGTTGACATCCCATGTTCAAATTTGCAGTCAAGTGATCTACAGTTGCTTAGCTGTTTCACCTTTAATCAGTTTAATCACAATCCTGGAGTATGTGCTTTCGCTCAGTGTTGCCGTTTGTGGATTAAGTCTTTTCCCCTTAGCTCATGAAACAAGCATGTTATTAGTTCAATGAAGTGATTAACTCTTTCAAGGTTCCCATCTACTCAATTGGAGACTAAGTGACTTAAAAATATAATAGTAGGAAACCTTTCACACATATGAGAGCTGTGAATTATAATTCCCTTATCAGTTCAATTAAAGATTCACATCCATTACGAAAAGCAGCAGATGTGAGCGTTTAAAGACTGAAATTGGGAGCCCCTGTTCTGTACAGTATTGAGGGGAACAGAGGTAAGCATGATTTGACTGGAATCTTTAAAGTCTGCTGTGGTTTGGGAGAGGAATGCATCCCTGGCAATGCTCTGGTGTGAAGTGGGAATGAAGAACAAAGTTAATGTGCTCCTCTAGACAAAAGGCATCAGTCAGGAATTCAGCTCTCAGTGACCTCTAGTGCATACTTATTTCTATCTAGTGATCCACAGCCCAGGCTTTCTTTACAGCAGGTATCCTAAGTGGCCATCAGTCACTGTACTGTAAACCATAAACTAGTCCCTTATTTAGTGTATTTACCCAGGCGATCCCAATTTACTTGTATACATTTTTTGTCGTAATCTAGTACTGAATCTCTCCATAGCAGTCAATAACCTAGAGATGACTGATTCCAAAAAGATATTGTCTGGTTTTCACATCTTTAGCTTTAACTCTTTTTCTCATAAATTACAAGGGTAGGTTTTAACTGCATTTCTAACTCAGAAGTGGATGTACCTGTTATGCCTTTACCTTCCTCACAAGTGCAGTTTCCCTTTATTGTAAGGAATGTGCTCCACTGAGGAAGATGAGGCCTATCTTTCAGCCACCTGCATTCCACTGAAGAAGCCTTTAAACTTGATCACATTGGGGACAGTGATTTTGCTGAGCGTGCTGGATAGATGTATATGACTGTTTACTTTTCGAAGGAAGTTACTCCAATGCACAGGAGAAATGAATGGAAACAATTTCTCTTAGTTGAAATTAAAGAGTTTGTACATTTTCTAGTTTCCATTCCATTTCTTGTATTTATACTCCAAAAATTTACCTCAGGTACAGTAGACATTCCTGACAAAAGTTTTGTTTAGTTGCACTGCTATATAATGAAAATAACTTTTAACAAGAGCATTGAAAAGTATGATTTTCTTGGGATTTACTGTAAATGAATAGTTTTCTAATATTCCAAGAATGCTATTGTTTTACTGCTGCTGAATCTAATTGGCATACAAAAACTCCCCCTCCCTAGGGTGGAGTTCGTTTTGAAGGTTTTCACTGTCTCCTTTTGTGTTGTTGTGGTACAGTTCTATTCCATTCTGGTTCTTGGATATAAATGTTTTCCATGAGACCTCTCACATCACCTCAGTCCATCATTTGTGAAGTATCTGCAGAGGATTCAGTAGGAATACAGAAGGAGATTGAATAAGCTGCAGAATAAATCTCATGTTTTGTTTTCTAACAGCAGGTGACAGGGAAGAGAGAAATTGTTTCAATAGAACATGATTTTGGAGTTGGAGAAATCAAATCTAATTTCCTTTCTGCAGCTAAGAGATTTGCCATCTGTTTCTCTTAGTTTTCATTTATACACAAAGCAAACACAACACTTCAAACTGCATCAAGGCAACAAGAAAAACATGTTTTGGAACTCGTATCACGTGCTGAGAGTTTAAAGGACTGCAATGAAAGTCTCCTTGCTTTGATGTTGAAATGGTCAACACCTTAGAAAACCACACTCGGCAGTCAGATCAATAATGCTGAACTATATAGTTAACTCATGATTAAAAACTGGAAATTTGAAGTCATGTATGTCATGTTCAGCAATAGATTTGCTGCTGAAGAGTTACTTTTATTTTTGACAGAAACCGGCAGAAAGCTAGCATGTCCCATAGATACCACACCTGTGGAGTAGTTCAATTCTTTGTTTAGGGTTTTTAATATTATTTTGGTACAATCTATTGCTTTTGTTAAATATGTAAAGCAATTTTATGAGTTGTCTGAGAGAAGTATTTTGTCATTTGCCTTGACAGGTGGAGCCAAGGAGTCACATTGTAGCTCCCACACCCTTACAATAATGTCTGGAATGTAGGCACAGTAAAAAGCTAAAGGTTTTAAAACATCATCAGGCTTTCTTAACATCTTTCTTTTTTACAAAGCGGGACACTTTTTGACTGTGCATAAGCAAATACATTTTCTGTGTAGTAATTTAACGTTTGTTAGGCGGGGATCATTCTTTCAGGCTTAAGATACTGTACAATATACACCATATGATGAACCACATTACCTTTATACCATGGTTTGTTCTGTAGATAAACAATATAACTAGCAATCTAGCATGATTTTTTTCTTCTATCGCTATTGTGAAAACACTTTCACTCCAGTTTAACCTATTTAGTCTACCTTATTTAATACGGACAGCTTGTAGTGAAGATGGCCCTCATTGCAGTTGTTTCATTGTAATAGTTTGACATCGTTTCTTTTAAAGCACTTCTTGATTCATTATAGAATGAATATTTCTAAGCAAGTCAACCACACTTACAACTAAATGTCGTGCCACTAGCTCAAGCAAATCTGTTTTTGTAATGGATGTGAAAGTAAAAAGCCATTGCAGTGGGTGTGGATTATAAGTATGCAGGCATGTTTTTAAGGCAATATATAAATGTAGGATTAAAAAAAAACAACAGAGTGGACTGTTATGTTTTTATCCTAAAAGATTTGTCAAACATTTAAACTGAATTATTATATTATAGTAATGACTTGAAAACTTCAACAAAACCACTGCAATAAAAAAAGACACCCCCCATGATGTCAAAAAATGAACCGGGATATTATAAACATGATTCATAGAGAAATAGTTCATGGTGTGAATGCAGAAACCAACAATGATAACATCCAGTAGAGGAAACAATGTAGTCCACTTTCCATACTGTTCTGTGTAGCTCAATCACAATGTCAATTATGCTTTTGGTAATGTTCTGTTGGGCACTACTACAGTACATCCTAGTGCTTGCTTAATGCGAACAGTGTTTGAGGACAGGGCTTTCTTCAAGAAGTGTGCCACATGCCAAAGGTCTCCATCCCTAGTCCTGGCAAGCCACTATTCCAGTAAGTCCTACTGGAAACCCCATAATACTGTTTTTTTTTTAAGATTGGGAAGACTTGAAAGTTATTGTTTAGTCAAGCAAGTGATTTCCGTAAGAGAACTTGAAGGCTGATAAGTATTCTTTTTTTGTTGATGATCAGTGATCTCAAAGTTCTTTAATTTAATGAAAGACTTCTTTAGCTCATCACTGCTCAACTGTTCCTGGTCTTTAAAAAGCGATTTTAATTTACTGCTTGCCTTCAGCTAGACAATAATAAGAAAAGGCATGTGGATTCAGAATAAACGCCAGAAATAAGTTAATTTACCTTATGTGAAACAGTGAAACGGTAAATAAGTCGTTATGCAAATCATCAAATTGCTCAAAAATATCTTAGAAAGATATTTTTTAAAGAAAGAAAATAGTGTTTAGAAAAATAAAAACTGCCTTTACTGTACACTGTTCCTGGGGCACTGGAGTCACAATTTGTGCAGTGCCTTTGAGTACAGTATTTATTATTTTACAGCTAGGAGAGGAATATGTAAATGTCTGATCCTTCAGTGAACAGAGTGACAGACACTGATGCATTAAAAAGCTATTGCTGACAAGGGTAGAGGCACTGATCCGGGTTAACAAAACAAATGCCTAATCTGGGAGTCGGGTTCAACAGGTTTGCAGATTACCAAGGTGCAAAGTGCGAGGGGCACTGGGACTCCTTGTTCTCTAGGAAAGTGAAGGAGCACACATGTTCTGTCCTACCCAGAGTTTTTCAGTCCTGGTCCCAGAAGGCCACCATACCTGTAGGTTTTCTACATTTCTCTAACACGCTGGTGACCTGCAGAGCTGGGAGAAGTTGATGAACAGATTCTGTCAGATCAATGAGGAGCTGAGTTGGAATGAAAACTTGCACTTTGGCTCAGCCCTCTTCTTAAATGGAGACTTCTATTGTGGGGCCTTGGAACAAGCTGCCCAGCCAAGTTGTTTAAGCTGGTACCGTGGCTTCCTTCAAGAAACAGCTAGATGACATTTCTTGGATAGATTAACTACTAACTACCAAAAATCTAGATGGACTGAACAACCATCCCTCTTTTCTTATGTTCATTGGTGTCACTGTAGTCATGGCAATGCAACTTGAATTCTTCCCTTCCAGGCCTTAGGTCTCTGGTAGGTTGTGGGTTTGGGATGTATTTCTGCCATCTACCCGCAGAGTTCCCTCTCAATAAGGGATCATCTCAGCCAGATTAACCCAATGTTGGTTCAAAATGTGGGCTTTGTTACTGAAACATTGAATCAAAGGCAGGTGTGAAGCAATGCCAGATCTTATTTGTGTAAGAGTTATAAATAAGGATTAAACTAATTTTAATATTTAAGTTGAGTTTATAATTCATGATTCACTCTAAAACTCCAAATAGGGTTGACTTTGATGAAGTGGTCTTTTTCCTTTTCCAGAAAATGTAGAATTGGTTCTGGATTCTGCTGCGTTTCCAGAATCTGGGACAGCAAAAGTGCGAGCCCGACCCACTGTTAAACACATCTCCAGTGGTTCAACCCATGTGAGTATGAATGACTATTACATTCTTTATTTGCATGAAGAAATGCATGCTTCACCCTGTTTTTGTACCACACATGTATCTAAGTATCTAGTCATTTGCCTGATGTCTCCCTCCCCCACCAAACAGCCAAAGTGTTGTTGTCATCTGTCCTCATTTCTCAGAAGCTTTGGCAAACATAGCAAGTGACTCATGGCCTGGGCTGCACTGCTTTCAGAGCAGTGTGAGAACATAATTAATTATGGACTACAATGTAAGCTGGTTTGCCATCTTTCACTACATCCCCAATATTGTAGCACTGTTGGGGAATTCAGTGCATGCGGATTCCTCAAAAACATACAAAAACAGACTCATTTCCATTTTACATTGTTTGTGTTTTATGATTACAAAATATTGTAATATTCTTCTGTTCACTACTCACATAATTGGAAATTTATGCATCCTGCATATTGAGTTAGCTGGCCTTTTCAAACAACGGCAGTGCGAAAAACTGCAGCAATGATTTTGTTATACTCTACATGCAGCTTGGGTTGCATTATTGCTTGCAGTGGCAGGATATGAAAAATAGGTCCAGTAAAATCACAAGTTGCATTTTCATCTCTAAAAGACAAGCCCTTACTTTGATTTTCATATGCATATGAAAATGTAAATTTCATATCTCAAACTTTGCCAACGACAACAAAGTAACTTGCTTGCCGTTTTTTTCTTTGATGCATTTTTGATGCTTAGAAATATTTAAATTCTTGCACAACTTGCAAATAAAGAGTGTGGGGCGGTGGTTAGGTCTCTGGTAGGTTGTGGCACTGCTGTTGTACCCCTGAGAAAGGTTCTTCACTCAGACTGCTCCAGTAAAAATACCCAGCTGAGGTAAATGGGTGAAAAAGCATGTTGTTTTGGATGAAAGTATCAGTTAAAAAGCGATGAAGAACATCACCTATATAGGAGCTTCCTTTCAGACAATTAAGTGGATATAGATTCTGGATATAGATAGTTACTTTAAACGATGTAGGCATGCATTCTCACCGTTCCAAATAATTAATTCTGCCCCAAATCCCATCCTATCTCTTCTCCTAACCGAAATCAACAGGTGCAATCAACAGGACTGTCTTAAAGCTATCTGCTTCTCAGCTGTAGATTTGCTGTATAGAGGCAACCCAGACCAGATGCCTTGCTCCCTGTTGGGTATTGTTTTCATAGAACTTCCCTGCCTCTCACAGTTTTTGGCAGGAAAATTCACTGCTAACAGCAAAGCTCAGATAACTCAAAAGGTAATTTCCTGTTAAGGCATAAGGCATTAACAAACAAATGCCAGTGATCACCTGACACAGCCCATGGCTGATAGCAGGAGAGGAATGTACAGGTTCTTGATGCCTTGCTGCCAGCTCTCAGGCTCTCGGGCTGTGTCAACATCAAAGGTGGCTGTTGCTCTTGGTTAGAGGAGAATGTCAACAGTGGCTGCTTGCTTTTTTTCCTCCATAGGCTTGCTCTGAAGTTGTGCAAGGATTTGCTGTTCCAACTCCAAAAGTGCCCCCTGCCGTCATTCAGCCAGGGATCACTGCAAAAGGTAAGACTGTCCCTGATCTCTGCCAACATGGACTTTGTAGCACCTATGGACACTTTCTCTGGCAGAGTTAGTTCCTTTATTATGCTCTCCCAGCATTTTATCATCAAGAGTTTAGCAATATGCTAGTGGTATTTTATAATATATATGTGTATATATAATGAATATGAATTTTATAATCCATATAATATCACTAGCATATTGCTAAACTCTTGATGATAAAATGTTTGTGGTTATAAATAACCATTATAAAAGACAGTTGATGATAATTCCATGTTTTATCTGTTGTCTGTTCAATTTGCTTTTAAGAAGTCATTGTGAGTGCACTGGGTTTTGCAATCATACAGATATCTAAAATTACACAAAATGAATGCATGCCTGCTCCGCTGGTTTCATTTCTGTCATGGCAACATGAGCACAAAACATAATGATGATGTCATCGTTTCAAGAAGGGGAGGCAGTGTTTTTTTAACCATTTGAATGTATCCTGCCTGGGATTTACTGGAGATATTTCTGTTACAATAAATAGTATTTCAAAAGGACAGAAAACATTGCCAATTTTCTTTTGAGCGCACATATGACAAACTCTCAATGTGGCGTTTATATTGTTCAGTCAGTATACCTATTGTTTCTGTATATAAAGCAAGTTGCCCCAACTGACAGGAATATCCCAGCATTAATCTCTTTTGAAGGTTTTAATTGGTGTCATTCTCCAAAACCTCATTTAGGCCTGGATTAAATTACATGTAAACATTTATGAGCAAGATCTTAGTTAATGATAGTTCAAGGATAGGGCCTTTAGTTGCTCACGTAGTCCAGGATTAGTAGAAGCTAAAAAGAGGTTTACATGAAAGAAATAATTTAAATCTAAAAACAATAATCTATTTCCTCTTTCTTTTTACCATAATGAAATTAAAATGTCAACCCATCAGCTAAGGAAGCAGCTAAGGTTTAGATTTTCTGTGATGCTCAGTGCTTCATCCTGAAATTGCAATTGTATTGCATATAACGATTCACAATAGATTTTTGATTCCGCATTGTGGGTAGATCTTTTTAAAGTTGTGCTGGGAAGAGGCTACTCCACAATGTCTTATCTTGCTTGATAAAACTGTAATCTGCCTCTTCATGCTTCATGGTGAGAAACACTCAGGTCAGATACACAGGGTAGGGTTGAAAGAACACTTAGCCTAATGCACACGGCCACAAGGTCTGTGCTGAAACAGAACAAGCCACAATTTTTATTTTAAAACTTATGCAGTATCTGCATGAGACTTGATTACCTTAATAATATTGCAGACAGTAAGAAAGCCAGCTAGCCAGAAATAACCTTTAGGGATGTATTCCAAGAACATTTTATGTTCTGACTTCTGCAATATAGATTGAACCCTACCCAGGAATCCACAAATAGCAGTACACTTCTCTGTACTTGATTCTCTCTACAACTGAATCTAAGGTTGTAGCATTAATGCAAACAAAAAAAGGTAGTTTCCCTTAGATAACCTTTTCAGATACCCCATTGAATGAGACAGAGGATTTCTTTGAAAATAAAAGTAAACAGAAAAGGTTCTCATTTCCATCTTTTTTTACTTCCCCTCAAACTGGTCTTCATTCTTACAATGTGTTTTTATTATCATGTTTTTTTTTTCTTTTAGAAAATGGTGCAAAGTCCAATAGCTACTCCAATGGAATAGTTGCAGAATTTCCCGATATGGAGGAAACGATATACATCCCACCCCCACCAGCAATGGCCCCACCACCACCTCCCCCAATATCTCAACCCATTCCTCCTCCCCTAGAGTTTGCCAATGACCCTGCCCCTTCTCCCTCTGTTGCTGTCTCTTCCCCAAACTTGGATCTGGCTTCTTTGTGTCCTCCACCCATGGCCCCTCCAAGCCCACCCAAACAGTTCTTTAAAAAGGACCCCGATATTGCTCCCTTCAAACCACCACCTCCTATGGCACCCCCAAAGCCCCCCTCAGGGAAGTCGCACAAGAACCTGCAGCAGACCTCCTCTTCAGCATACAGAAATCCCAACTTCAGCGAAGACTATACCCCTCAGCATCCACATTTTTCTCCTCCCCCACCCCCACCACTATCCCAGAAACAGCCGTCCCATGTGGGCCCTCAGCCTGCTCCCTCTGTGCCAGCCAAAACCCACAAAATGCCCCCTCCCAAACCAATGAGAAATTCCTCCATGCCAAATCAAGACATGCCACCACAGCAGCCAGCTCCCGCTCCACCTCTTCAAAAATCCATGCCCTCCAGCTTCAACCCCCAAAATGCTGCCAAGCTGTACAACCCAGAGAGCACGGCCCAACCAGGCAGCAAGTCTGAGAGAGAGCAAAAGGGAAAGTCCATCATCTTCCTGCAGGATACGATCACTGATCACCTCCCTACCCAAGTGAATGGCAAAGATTCTTCCACTGTGGAGCATTCCAACAGTTGCCCTCCAGAGGTATCTCCTGTACCTCCTGCCAAACCTGCCCGGAGAAACAGCTCGGGCATTCAGCTGGAGAAAGATCTCAAGGAGTTCAAGGACAAAATTCAGACCCCTGCATCCAGTGACCTAAGCAATCCCACAGCAAGAATGGATGAAGTAGATGTCCCCCTAGTAGCCTCCATGGATGTGGACACTCCTACATACCTTTCCAAGACTGCCCTGCCAACTTTGGTTCTGAAGAGAGATGTTGTATGGGATGAGGATACACCCAAACCCGCATTCACACAGAATAGCCTGGAGCAGAGTTCCAGCGAACCCCAGCAGCAGGCATCTCCGGGCAAGAGCCGGAAACAAAGCCCATATATCAGCCGTACACCATATTCTCTTCGTGTAAGTGAAGTTCTTTCTGGATCTGGTGCTTCACAAAAGGACCGTTCAAAATCCCCCATGGATCTGTTGCTGGCTGCTAAGCAGAGGAATCAAAATAGATCTAGTCTGTCCATACAGAGCAGCAACAATAATAGCAGCAACATATCCTCTTCGGTAAGTATTCACCAAAGCGAATCAAGTCCAAACTCCTTCACTGTGGTTCCCAAGAGCAGTGGAAGAGAAACAACTTTAGGAACTCCCATTTCTAGTTCTTATAAACCATTTGACCCAGAACCATCCATGTCGCCGTTAACTATTCCAGCAGTTCGCAGTGAAACACCAGCTGTGATTTTGCAGCCTATTAAGAAGGTACAGAGTTCTGAACTGCTACAAAGTGAAGAATGTGCTTCAACAGACGTGGTACAGAGACTTCTGCACTCTCCAAAACATGCTCCTAGCAGTACCCTAATGGTGGATCTCCTGGAGAAACATGATACAGAGTCTCCTGTGCCCTCCCCGTCTGTCAGGGATGAAGAAAATGGGGAAGACCTCTTTATCCCATTCATCCCTCCCCCTCCAGAATTTGCCAACTCAGACACGGAGGAGGAAAGCATTCCTGCTCCAAAAAAACCACCTCCCAGCCTGCCTCCATCCACACCCATCCAGCAGAAAAGCAACCTGATCCTGTCTTCTAGTGAAAAGGTCAGCACTCCTGCAGCCACAATTGTGAATAAAACCAAAGGTCCCCCCCCTCCACCAAAACCTGTTCTGAAATCTATGGGTCTTCCTCGATTTCCAGCCTCTAACACCAGCTTAAAGGCGGCAGTGCAGACCCAACAAAAGGCCCCCATGCAGGTCCCTGCAAAGCAAAACAAACCACCTCCTCCACCTAATCCAGTCCTCAAACCTGCTCCAACTCCCAGCCAGATGACCCTTCAGAGCATCCTGCAGAAGAAGATGCTTGAGATGGATCTGAAGCCCACATTTCAAGAAGTGGACACCAACCCTGATGAGTGGGGGACGTCCCAGTCTGATGATGAGAGCAGTCACCCAGTGAAGCCCAAGTCTCAACAGAAGGACAAGAATGCCAATTCCCAAGTCAAGCAATCCCAGGGACAGGACCTGAGGACCAAGAATGAACTTGCCTCCAAAGTGAAAAAACCTATGGCTTCACCCACATCTACAAGGCCAGACACCAGGTACCTTCAGAACTTGTCTTTGATCTCTTCTGATCTAGGGATCGAAGTAATTTCTGTTCTTGAGTGCATTGTTTCACCAGTACCTTGTGAAAAGAAATGCATGCCATAGTATTATATACTGTATAAATGTTGCAGGAAGTCTGAGGAAAGAAAACAAACTATATCTTAATTGTTGGAATGAAGAATTGAAAAGTATACCATAGAATTGAGAAAGCGTAGGAGAGGTAGTTGAAGCAAATACACATTTGATCCTAATACCAGGTATGGATTTCTGTGACACTTGAGTATTTCTGTAGTTTTAGTTATACTAAATGTTGTTGTTTTTTAATTTACGAATAAACCCATGTTCCAAAGATGTGCTGGCCAGGTTAATTGGCATCTCTAAAGTGTCCACGCAAAAGGACATGCGACTGGATTGTGAAGACATGAATTGAACCCTATGGTTTTGGAAAAGGCTCTGATTCTCTCCAGACTTTTTAGAGAATAACTCTTCATTCCTGCTTCTATCCATTTCCTGAATGAATTTAACTCCCCCCTTCTTTTCAAAGAAATTGCTATTTACAGTTTTTCTTGTTTCAAAAGAGACATGAATGGACTTTTAAAGCTCATGAGGTACAGTGATTAAACAGTCTCCCTAAAATGCTTTTTCTTCCTTTCTATTTTTTAAACAGTGGCCTAGACAAGTCTAAACAGGCCTATGGCATGACCTTCACTGTGCGTCCCGGAACCAAGCAGCCCATTACCCCTGTAAGCAAAGGAGAGTCTATGTGAGGTTATGGGGATCCACTGGACATTTCTGGATCACGCAAGACCATTGAAACAGTTTTCAGGGAATGCCTGTTGGAGTAATAGAAAGCGTTATATTAAGAGGAGAGTCAACAAGACTTAAAGAGACTGAGAAGAATGTAACAGCACTTATGACGAGAAAAAAGAACCGGTCTGTCTTCGGATTTTAAGAATAGATTATACAGTATATGTAATGCAGGTCTTGGAGTGGAAGAATATATACAAAAAATGAAGCAAGCCTGCTGTAAATCTCAAGGATGTGCCTTTTTACAAAAGGGGCTTTCTAAGATACTGGCAGTGTTGCTTTTGTCTGACTGGAATGGTGGCTGTACATGAAATCCACCTACATATTACTAATGTCGGATGTCTTCGGTGTTTTGCCAAATTACTGTGCATATCCATGTTATTAGTTGTATGTCACAATTTTTTGTTAAGAATTTTATTCTCTCATGGCCAAATTACTACTCGAGTCTTTAAAAGAAAAGAAATAAGGAGAGTGAAATGTTTCTCGCCTGTATATTTTATATCAAAGCGGGTGATATTTTTTTCTTGTAAACTATACATTTGTTTTTTGTAGCTGTGAAATGTAAAGAACTATATTCCCCACTTTAAACCACAGAGAGTAAGTTGCAGAAAGCTTCAAGTTACAAAGGTACTAAGTTGTTCTTAAATCTTAAACTGAATTATCTAAATTGTGAGCTTTGCTGTATATTTCTTGCAAACACTTTTATGGTGAGAACTTTGTTAAGGTAATTCATTGAATTTAGCTTATTTAATGAATTCACTGGAGGAGTGAATGGTATGGAACAATCCACACTTGACAGGAGCGGTCTTATAATCAATTCTGGTTATCGGGACTTCTTGACCTGCAAATGACTGTAAATAAGTGTTCATTACCCTTAGAGAGCTACTGAACCTCCTTATGCAATTACAAGAAGACTGTGCCAAATTATAAGGAAATGTGGTCATTGTGCTGTTATTCAGTGTTTTTTCTGCCTAAATGGTACATAAACGTTGTAATGAATGCACAACTAGATTTAAGGAATTAATTCACAAGTCTTGGAAGGGTTACTAATTACATGATTGCCACCAACCTCCAGCTTGGTGGACCAGCTCGTCTTCAGGGGCTACATATTTGCATTTTTCCTTGCTAAATGTCTTCATTATGCAGTTCAATGAATTATTTCTGACCTGCCATCCCATATCCATGCAGTAATGTCTGGAACAACACAATAAAGTACCTATTTTATTATCTGGTTTGTGTAAGATGCCTTTAAGAAAGGCGTGGCTAGATTGGTTGAATCTAATTGATTTACCTACCTGAAGCAGGTAAATGTAACAGGTGCTATTTCAAGAAATTTACTGCATATAGTCATGACTAGTCCAGGGGTTTGCAATACAATTTCTGGAGTACAGATGTCTTCTGGTTTTTGTTCCACTTGAGATCTCAGTTACATAACAGTTTTAGAAAAAACTGTTTTAAGAAAATGGGTTAACGACTCATGTTGTATTAAGACAGGAGACAATGGGCCCTGCAGAATGGTTTAGTCCTTTGGTTAAGCCATAGTTTTGCCACACTGGGGAATAAACTATGTATCTTTTATACCATAGAACGTTTTAAAAAGGTCATACTAATATTGTGGATTTCTTTCATTGTAAATGGATGATCTGATTAAATGTGACCCTCCTTTATTCTACTAATCTAATGGACAGTATGCAGTACTGCATGTGTACAAAGAGTAGGACTGCTTGCTCTGTAGTGTTCTGTTGGATGATGCCATTTTTATGCCTTTTGTTTTTTGTTAAAAGGGATGGAAAGAACAAGTCTGTATATAGTAGAATACTGTTGTACAAACTATTTAACATTGAAGTATAAAAAAGTGTATTTATGAATAAAGGGTCATGACTCTTAACTTCAGTCTCAAAGTATTTTAAAGTAAAAGTATAGATTTCTGTCAAATGTTTCAGTGGGTGATTTCTTCTATGCAAAGTGCCTGAAGGTAGAAATTAAGCTGTGCCTCTTCAGCAAGGTTGAGCATTCTGGAATCCTCACTTCAATAAAGTATAATAGAGACAAGAAAAACTATTTTACGCCTGGTATGATGTCCCTATCCTTGAATGCCCACTCTATTAAGGTGGTGGAACAGTACTGATTCTTCATACACAACAGTCTATTACTCGAAATATATTTAGTTCGAGTATTAGGAGAAATGCAGATTGTCAGATGAAAACGTATTTACATTATTTCCCCTGTTTAAAACCCAACAGCCAAACTTCGTGGCCAAGATATTAAAATTGTCCATGCCCTTACAAAAAAGGGTGCAACAGAATTTGAGGTTATGAATTTTATTAACAAAAATATTCCAGGTATTTTAACAAATGACAAAGGAATACTTTTTATAGTTATGCATTTCATAAACAAAAGAGGTGCTTATCTGGTAAGACTATCAGAACGTTGAAGGCTGTGTTTTTCATATTGGATTGTGAGAGTGCTCCATTGTTCTAACAGACATGAACTTAAAACATCAAGATTCTGCAAGTGACTGCAATTCTGACCATTGACTAAATTTGAAAAAAATGTATTTCCCAAAGACAGCTTACCACTCTGACAGGATATAAGTATGAGCTTCGTACTGAAAACCAAACAACCACACTCAGATCTCTGCTAGGATGTTTAAAAATGAGACAGGAAAAACAGTGTTTAACTGAAAAATCAAGCAGGTCACGGTGAACACTTTTTAGCTTTCATGCAGCTGCAACTTGGCAACAAAAAATGATTTTGCCACACCCAACTAGGTAGTTGAATACCAACTAGGTATTCAACATACAAACTTTTATTGAAGTGCTGTAATTTAAGAAATACTTTGATGCTGTCAGTGTTACTCACCCCCAGGAACAGGTACACAATGCAGGGGGAGTGTGACCTTCACTGAAATCGTTGGTTAGAGAAAATAAGTTTTATCACAGTGCTCTGTTTGTATTTAAATGACACTGGCTCTTAAAAGTCAATGAAGAAGGTTGTAAAGGAATAAGCAGAAGGGAGCACAATGGGTAAATAGAGCTGCATGAAACTATTACTCTGTAAGTCAGTAGATGTTTTTTTGAAAAATCACCCCATTTGAAATCTCATTAGTGTACCAATAGTTTTCATACAGTTCTGTTTGTTTGATAATCTGAAAAACGCACTGTGCCTGCTATAAATTCAAATTAGCAGTCTGAATTACAAAAATGCACCCTGGGACCAGTGTTTTCTGTTCAAGCTGGGATCCACAACTACATCTAGGAATCACATCACCTTTGCTCACGATGACATCATGTTGCCACTTTTGCTTAGTAAACACACTTTCTAGGTCAGTACTCGATGACTGGTGATCCCTGCCAAACCTGCAGGGCTGTTGCACAGCAGGACCAGGACTCCAGACCCATTTTTCACAGAGGAGTCTTAATTGCCCAGGATGCTCGTTAACCGTTTCGATGTGAACATGAGCGACGTGCCCAGTGCCATCCTCTGCTCCCTTAGGAAGAGGCTCTGGAGTGAGGGTACGTAGGCCTGGGCCTACGGATGGGTGGGGGCGACCGCATCTGCCGTTGGGGGCGTCTCTTCCTGGCCCACTGAGTGGTGCAGGACCTGGTGGTCCCAGCCGGCCGTGGTGAGGGTGGAGGAGCCGGCAGGAGCCCAGGACACACCCCGCACAAAGTCCTGGTGCCGTCTGTCCCTGAAACTGAAGCAGAGGCACGGCCGGCAATGTCATGCGCCAGTAGACACAAGAACCTGCTGTGTCTGAGCCTGCCGGGAGCTCCACACTCCACCCAGCCTTCTCAGATGTCAAATCTCAAGCGAAACCTCATGTGAAAAAGCACAATAGTGACCTCTAGTGGTTCAGGAAAATGCATGCAAACTTATAGGGTGCACCCTTTCGTGTGTGCGGTTCTTCCCAACACGCATGTTTCAATTGGCTAGCAAAACTCGTAGGCGCCCCACATGTCTCCTGAAAATGATTCTCAGCTTTATTTGTGGCGAATGGCCAACATCTTTTTTGGTTTCTATTAAGTTAAGCAAAAGCTACCTTTTCAAAAAAGCGTGCTCAACCCCCCAGATCATCCTCTAGTGTATTTCCAATTTGGGAGCTGAAGGAAAAGCAACTAAGAGCTCACAATTATATCTTCTGAAATAAAAAAGCATGAACAATGGAGTGTAAAAAAACATCTAACATCACGGCGCAGCTTTCTCCTACTTACATTTCTGAATAATTGGAGTCCACTGCTGCGACTGAACAGTCATCACTGATTGAGGCCAGGAAGGGGGAACTGTGAAACAGACAAGGAGGCAGTTCAGGACCATGGTGCTTCCAGCAAAGCCAAAGACTGCGCTTAAACTCTCGTTTAAAAGGTTTACACTGAAGAGGCGTGGCGCAGCCAAGTAAGGGACAGACCGAGAGCTCCGGGGCTCATCGGGGTTCATCAACAGAAAACTAATTCTGCGAGTACGGCTGATCCGATTGCTCACCGAAAACAACCACTTCAACTGAGTAATTGAATCAGTAATTGAAACAGATCAGTTAACAAGAGTTCTGCAGCCCACAGTGACTGGAGCTGCTCTGCACCACAAGCGATCGCTGATCGACCACAGAGGTAAAATACTGGATCTTCCAATTCACCTCTTCACCAGAGCCAGTCTCTTAATCAGGTCCTTTGATTCTTAAATCCATGAAAATAATGCAGCAGAGGAGCAGCCATCTGGTGTTAAAACATCCACTTTGTCGTTTAAAGTGCTTATCTGTGATTATCTGGTGGACAGCAGGAGAACGGCCCTGAAACCTCAGCTCGTGCTCACGATGGTGTGCAGTCGTGCGGACAGTGTTCCTGCGCCACAGCTGGATGTTCACCTGTGCGAGGAGAAGGCCAGGCCGGTGACCCTCCGGGCGTGGGTGTCCATCTTCTTTACGCTCTCACTGGCTTGGAGCTCCCTCACAAACACTTTGCCCAGGTCGTCTCCTGAGGGCAGGAGAAACACCCAGTGAGCTCTCGAGAGGAACAAATCAAGCCACCACATGCAGCTGCTAGTTTCGCTGACGGAGGTGGGAGGGGTTTCGGTTAACTCGCCAAATACACCTGGTAAGTAGACCAAACTTTCAGATGGGCATCTCCAAAAACCAGCTGAACCAGCCTAATTTGCAGCCACAGGGGGGAAGCACTTACTCAGCATGCTTCTATAGTAGTGCGCAGCTAATCAACTCCAATTAACACTTCCAATTAAAAAATAATTTCCCACATGAGAATTCGTGACAAAAGGAGTTGCACATTCTACAAATACAGTGGCTGTTAACACCCTGAACTTGGTGTGCAGATTAGAAAAATATTTTTTCTTATGAAAAAGAATTCATGTTTATGTTGAGGCATCGTTTACATATTGTAAACAGTTACACTGACAGGCTGGAGGTACCAAACCTTTTTAATCTTGAACAGAGAAGACTAAGATGGCAACTGATGAGAATTCGAAATCCTCAAAGACACCGATAAAATCAATTCAACGGACGTCCTCAGATTCAATAATAAAATGCAACCCCGAGGAGATGCATGGAACGCGAATGGAATGAAATGAAGCACATTTAAAACCAAAAACACTGATTGCATTTTTACAGTTTTTTCAGCGCATTTAAACTGTATTGTAGTATTACTAGTGTGCACACCTGCATTGTGTATCTGCAGCTTAGGTACGGTGCCCTGAATGAATTTGTCAGCTAATGTCAGAACCCTGATGATAAACTTGCTTTATTAAGGACACGGTGAGCAGTGACAGTCAGACATCTGCTCGAGTCAGGCTCCTTACCGTAGGCAAACATATTGCTTCGCTGAGGGTGCCAGGCTAAAGAGGTAGGGCAGCATTGAGTGTCTGCAGAGGACAGAAATAAAATTAAATTAAAGAAAGCCTTTACTCTTAGAACAAGGAGCTTCAGGGCATGCAGTTCTTACAGTACAAAAAATATAATGTGTCCACAGGTTAACTCCACTGTAAGATAACAAAATAGTTCAACGGCCTGTGTATTACAGTTTTCAATTTACATCTATTGCAAACTGTGATGATTACCTCTATTCAGGGTGCAGAGCACAATGCCTACAGTATAGCCTCTTCCATATTCCTTACAAATATTTATTCTTCACATCACAGTATTCCTACTAGAGAACTGAGTTTAGTATTACTCACAGCGGCTAGTGTATAAGCAGTATCCACTGTTAGAGCAATGTATGCAAGAAGAGCTTTTGATCTTTAGTTTTTTTTGTTGTATGAAATTAACTGTATGTACGACGGATCTGATTAATTCCCCCCCCTGTTCAAACTAGGGATGTTGTAACACCAAAGCCAGCAGCTCACCAATGCGAGAGGCAGGTTTTGGCTTCCTCCTGTCCCATAGCAGCAGCCGGCCATCCTGCAAGAGAAGGCAAAATCGCACCCTCTGAGATCCCTGTCAAGCTGCACAGAGATTCAAACACCAGGACGTCTGCAGATCAAACAAGCCTGACAAGTCTTCCGGATACAACTCTGGAAGTCTGTGCTGAACGTGTTAAAAACATGTTGTTCTCAAGGCTTCAGAAATTAATCAAACACATCAGTCTCCCACTCATCAGTACTGTCGGTTTCACCAATTTAGGGCAATTTTGATTGATGGATTTGTCTTTGTAGCCGGGTTGAAAAAAGTGGGCAGAAACACAGCAGTCATCACACAACAAAGGCTCCTGGAAGTAATTCTTTTGGCAGATTTAAGCTCTCACTCAGTTTTTCTTGCCTTCTACTCGTAGCGTGAGGCAGCAAATTATGTACACAGTTGACTTCTTACAGTATTTGTGTGGGAAATACATAATGCTGCTGAGCATTTTGGTCGATCCCCAAAATGAAATGCTTCAGGGGATCCATGAAGGTTACTTTAAACTCTCTCAAACCTAAGTCAAACTTAGGGTATACACACTGTGCCAAAGCAGATCTTTAGGGTACAATTAAGATAAGATCACTTTGTTAGCCCTATACAATTTCTTGCATTAGGAATTTGTCTTTTCGCATACCCCAACTTGCTCTCCGTGAGACACACAGACACACAGAAAGAGAAAGAGAAGCCTTGGAGCAGTTGGGGTTAAGGGCCTTGCTTTGGGGCCCAGCGGAGTAGGATTCCTCTGCCGGCCGCGGGATTTGAACCGGCAACCTTCCAGCCACAGACACAGCTCCTTAGCCACAGAGCCACTGCTCCACCCCAAGAATTCCTGAGTACTGATGAGCCTGATACCTGATACCACCTAGCAGACGTAACTGGGTGCCGTTCAAGGACTTACAAAGGCTAGTCGGATAAGAGATGGGTGCTTGTTTTAGGAAAGTAACATGGGCCCATGTGCACTGCCTCTCTTGAAGGCGCTAAAGTTGACTAGTTGCTGCCTCACATCTGTCTGTCCTAGTGCAATGCACACAACAGAACATAAAAAAGTACTTGACTGGGCATCCAAAGTTCTGACCAACAGTCTCTTACCTGCCCGCAGGAAAGAAACAGCGCCTCTTCACTGGGGCTACAGGATACGCAGGTGACTGAGCTAGAATGAGCTGGAGAGAGAGTTCATGAACACTGAAGCACTGGTATTATAAAGATAATAATTCATGATTTCTTGCATTTGCATAGAGATGCTCCTCATAAAGGATCCATAGTTTTAATATATATATAAGGGAACCCCCTCCTTCACTGCTGAAATGCAGCACTCAGCTGGATGACAGAGAAGCCCTTGATCACCAGCAGCCCCACTGCACATGACAGGTGGAAAAGTGGGAAATCACTCAGCCAATTGATTTAAGACTGTGCAAGTCAAGAGTGGAATTTAGCTAGGAAATGGAGGTTAAAACCCCTACTCTTACAAGCAGTGCCATGAGATTTTCATGGGAACCTTAATGAGCAAGCAATAAGAAACTCTTGTTGAACATCTCATCCAAAGTCATACTGGGGAACAGATTTGGAAATTCAGAGGGATCAACACCACCACTTAACTGCAGTAACCTGGTTTTCATTCCCAGGACTGACCAGGCCAGGCCTTGCTTAGCTTCAGGATCAGACTACAAGGTGCAAATTCTGGCAATGTATTAAAACCTTCTGCTGTAATTCATAAAAAAAGATGTATCTGACATATGTTTTGATATAAGCTAAATTAAAAATCACACAAACATTCTGGATCATTGCACCTCAAAGACAATTATGGCACTGATCAAGAAAGGCATAAAGTAACGCTTACATTGCATTGCACTTAACAACAGGGAGCTAAAATCTCTCTTTAATGCATTGCTAGATCCCAAATCCACTCACCATTATAGGAGTTGACCACAGTTTCCTGGGCAAGATCCCAGACTTTGATCCTGAAAGGAAAAGGATAAGGACAAGATGCCAAACTTTAAACATTTTAAGAAACCGATCCTACAAGTATAACTGCACTCAGGCCTTGCAAAAGATGGCTTGCCAGATGGTGTTCTGCTACTCTGTACTTTCAACACAAAAAAAGACCATCTGCAAAAGACCATATGAAAAGTCTATAACAATAGGCGACTCCAAACCTGTTGATGTTCAAGCAATATAACACGAAGGTATAATCACATATTCAAGCCTAGCGCTTTAATTCAATGTTTAAAGAATAATATTTCACTTATCTTCATCATCTCAAGCACTTACCAAAGTTCTCAAACATTTCAAAAGTCATTAGCACATAACACTGAATTGAAACATCCAGATACCTCAAAATACATGACACGCCCAATTTCAATCAAGTCATCGTAACCAATGAGTATTCATATTATTAAAGGGTACAGTCTTATAAATACAACCACCTTAATCTTATTACAAAATTCCTATTAATAATCAGTAATAACGACCTACAATTTTAAATTGGCATTATAGAATAGCTAGTCGGCTAACATTTGAAAACTTGAGGGTAATTAGGTTTCAAAGGACATACACAGTTAATGTCCACATTCCCTTTGTACACCACCAGGTTTTAAAGTAGGCCATTAAATCATGGATTTTTGAAGACCTGGGACAATCTAACTGTGATCACTTAATCAGGTGATCTTTTAAATGGAGCAATTTAGAGATCACTGGAGACCAAATTCTGCCCAGAAGTCTCTCACCTGAAAAACCTACTTGCCTAACCGATCTACACATCAGATCTTAACTGATCTTCATGGTGTTCCTGACCTACAAAACTAACTAAAATGGGTTTCTCCAGGACCAGGGTTGGAGATGCCTGCCATAGTCAGTCACATTAACACTGTAATCTCACCGAACATCAGAGTCCGAACAGAACATTGACATTTTCTAACCTAATTATTTCTGGTGGTTATATATACAAACACAATGAGTACTTGCATTCTGTGTGGCCCTGTACACAACAGAATGTGTGTGTAAGGGATCAGGAGACAAACAGGAGGTCATATCCACTGTCCTAATATGGATGTCAACACTGCAAGTAAAAAAATCTGATTTACAGAGGTCTATTTCAAAGTTTTACTCTTTTAGCAATTCCTACATTTCCATTTTTCTGCCACAACGCAGCACAATGGTCCTGCTCGATGGATTAAGGCCCAGCACAGGGCAGCAGGCACGAGCTCCTGGCTTTCAGAGAGCAGGCAGTGAAGAGCACACTGACCAGCAGTCCATGCTGCCACTGACCGCCTGTGTCCCCTGGGCCAGCGGGCTGACGGTAGTGACGATGTCGTCGTGGTGGTGGTGGCAGAACTTGCTGACGATCAGGGACTCGTCCTCAGCCAACTCCCACAGCTCCACCGCGCCTGGGACAACAGACAGGCAGACATGGAAGAGACCACAGTGTGTCAGCTCTCCACACACTCACAGCAGCACAGCAGTCGCCCCAGACACTTCAGTCATAGCAGGGATAACTAGTTCCCTCTCTCTCTCGTCACAGAAGCCCAGTTGGGTTCCCACTCCCGTACCAGAACATTAAGAGGACAATCTAGAACTATAACAAAACCTCAACCAGCCACTCACTGAATCATCAGCGCTCTCCTCAACAGAAACGACAGAACAAATCGCTTTCATGCTTCACTATCAGAACTGGCTTCAAGCTTCAGAGAGTAGGAAGATAATTTACAAGGGGGTGAAATTCTCCACTATATGGGGAATGAGATGCACCATCACTACTATATGGGGAATGAGAAGTAACAATGTAGCAGTTGCATTTTCAATTGCCATTTTCCTGCAAACCAACACTTCTTCAATTACCCCCCTAGCATTCACCTAACACCTAGCGTTCACCTTCCTAACACTTAAGGCTGTTGCACCCAACAGCTTCACCCAATGAAGCCAATAACATATGGTATTTAAATATCAAATATATTATAACATACAAACAGATTTTCTCTTTGCTGGTTTAAAAGTAATACATTGCTTCAAGCCACCCTCCCATACACTCAGAGCACGACAAAGGCTGATCTCCAGTGCTGAGCCCAGCTGGCCCTGGTTACTGCTCTGCCACTCCAACCAGAACAACGAGGAAACTCACCGGAGTCCGAGCCCACGAGGATACTCCGCTCGGACACCCACTTCGCGTCCGCCACGCCGGCCTCGGTCTGCACCCCGGCGCTGCAGTGCCCCTCTTTCGGCGCCAGCTGGGGGTCCTTGAACACCCAGATGGAGCCCAGCCAGCAGCGCCCCATCAGGCTGGAGGCACTGAGCAGCAGGGAGCCATCTGGAGGAGAGAGAAAAACAAACGCCACAGCGTTCAGGGCAGAGGTACTCCAGGGAGAACTATCAGCCAGCTACTGTGGGAAAATGGGTCACTGCTCCACAAGGAAGAGCACACCAGCAGAAACTACGAGAAAGAGCATTTAAAATAGAGAAAGGGAGGCAATTCTTTAAGGCCAGCCACACAGCTGTGGTTTATTTCAAGAAATGGCTGGAAAAGACCCTCAGATTGATCGGGTTTCAGCAACCAAAAGCCTACATTTTCCAAATAAGTGTAACCTCTCTTATGTAGACGTACCAGGGAAAGGTTTAGTTCTGAGAAAGTACTGACGTCTACCTGCCTTGAGGCAATATCTCCTAATGGAAGCCACACTCCTTTACTAATAGAACAATTACGTTTTTAATTGATGTTTTATACCCAGATGCATCTGCCTAAGCACGTACTGAATTAAGGACAGGAAATGGACCTATCAATCCACTCCTCTGCCCGTAATCCCTTTCAGAGCACCCCTGTCTCCTCACTGTCCCGTTCTCAGCTGCCTGTAGCCTGCTGCCCTCTGTCCCTATCCCGTCACCTAGATATGCAACACCCCACAGTCCCCCCTTCTCCCCCCGGCACCCTGGGGGAGGAAACACCTAGCAAACAAAATGAGGTCTTTTTGTCTCAAAAAGAAGAAAAAGAAAGCCCTCCCCATCAACAGCTGACACGTTCCAAAATATAGGCTCTTCCCGATTGCACTTATATCTGCGGTTATGCCAAGCTAGGAAGCAAATTTCTGTACCGGGCACTCGGAACGTACAAAAGCACTAGAACCACGCTCGTTTTCACACAACGCTGGCCGACACGACGGGACAGCTCTCCGGACCGCCGGGCGGGCCTGCGCAAACACAGCAGTCACGCTGTATGGCTTCTACCGCCGCCGACTACCCGGGTTTGTGGTCTCGCAGAGTTTTAACGAAAGACCGTGGACTCGGAAGTGCATTCCGAGATAACCTGCGGCTCATGCCAGATAGTAAGAGACATTGTGAACGGCGGCATAAACGTTCAGACACACGGCGGTTACTCGGTAATGTACAACAGGTTGCTACTACGAGAACTTTGATATCACTATGTTTCCTGTGCTCCTTCAATGCACAGTTGAACGGATAGCGTGGCTTTCATTAAAAATAAAACATACAGCCACTAATGGCATACGAAAACAGAGTGTCAGGTTAAACGTTATTTTGACCGGTTCGCCGATACAATTAAAGACCCGAGATCAAACAGGCCACATGCACGCCATGTATAACCCACAGACGACACGCCAATTAAACACGTAATTAATGATTTACCTGCTCTGTACTGGACTGAGTCCAGATGTTTTTCCATGCAAGCCGGGGCATTGGGAGGTATTTTCCAGCGATTTTCCTTGATCATAGCTGTAGTATTCATTCACACGCGGCTGCTGCTGCTTAGATCAATTAACACCAACGAACTGGATTTCCGTTCTTTACTCTCCTCGATTGCTCCTGGCTCCGGATTTTAGGTTCCACATACAACAAGGTGCCAAGCCCGATTTCCGAATCCACCTCCAGCAACCCTCTCCACTCCAGTCCTCCCTGCCGAAAAGGTGTCAACTTTACCCTGCTGACACGCTCACTCTCCTCTTTTTTCCCCCGATCCAGACCCGCGAATGAATGAGCCAGAACTGCCAAGGTCCATCCACCACGTGCTTCCGCTTCCAGGTCCCCCCTCTGCACCAGCCCTGCCTCCGCTGGCCTCGCTCTCGCGCGAGTACCGGTTGCTTGGTTACCATTTGATTTGCCGCCCCTTTCCGCATATAATCATCACAAAGTGCTGATACAGTAGAGTACTGCAGAGCTAACGTCGACCCTCTACAGGGTCTTATACAAATAAAACATGTCACGATTTTGATTCTTATTCCTAAAAACGATTAACTTGAATACTTATTATTTAAAAATGTTTATCCAAGAGTTTAGTTTCATGTATATTCCAAAGAATTACTGATCAAGAAAGCGCAACAGCGCCTGTACTTCCTAAGACGGTTGAAGAAGGCTAAGATATGTCCCCAGATCCTCACTAACTTTTACAGATGCACT